GGCTTTGGGCGACGATTCTGTGCACGTTGGGCTGGTTGCTATCTGTTGGAATGACTTTTTTTTTTTCTCTGAGGGTTGGACTTGACTTGGTTAACGACTATCCCCAACGTCTGCATATGGCATAGATGAGGCATTGGACCTTGGCCTACCTTTTTTGTTTGGTTTGATTTTATGTTTTGGCCTGTTCATTATAGTTTGCAGAAACGAAGATTAACGACAGCATGTATTAACGAATATTTTTTTTTTCTCAAAAAAAAAAAAACGACGATGCGTTTTTCATGTCTACTTGGTCCTCGATCAATTAAAATTGACACTACGCAAAGTGCGTACTGCTTAGAGCAGTACACGAAAACGAGATGACTCCAAGTCGCGGTTGCCAGTCAGAAAACAAAGGACTGCATGTGTAGGTGAAGTTTCATAATGACAAAGTGCCTGCGACGGACGAATCCACCAGCCTTTGCCGTTGGGCTTGCATAGACGCGGCAAACTGCCCGTTCTCGTCGGCGTGCTGAGCCATGGCAACGGCCTTGTCCAGCCACCCGCGGCACGCGGCCATGTCGTGGCGCGCCGCGTACCTGGTGAGTCCGTGGTTGAAGGCGGCGGCGGCGAGCCACGCGGCTTCCTCTGCGGGAAACGCGACACCGACCTTGGTTCATGCAGCTGATTTAGCGCGTATACATTTTTTCCCTGAAAGTCACTGACAGATTGACAGGGCTGTGAACGAGTTGGAAAAACAGAAAAAAAAAACGGAAGAGACGCATACCTGCTTCGCTTCGTGGGCGACTTGGACGGCCTGCTCTAGGATATCCCGCGCGGCGCCGTCGTCGGTCATGGGCAGGAGCACCTGCACCATGCAGCGGAGGTACTGCGCGAGCCGGTCACTCGTAAAGTTTTCGAGGGCAAAGATTTCGTTAACAATGGACTTGAGCATGCTGCTCTTGACTGGCCGCCACACGAAGCATCACTACCTGTCAGCCCCGTTCGTTCCCAGGTAAGGGCGCAATGTCCCAGCACAAGTTCTGCGTACCCGCCACTGGCGCCTCGCTTTGGATGACGCAGCCGCCGAGGGCTTTCAGAACGTTGGCGTCGTTGCTGCACAGACGGCCTGCTTGCTCAATGATGCGGGGAACATGGTCGTAGCACTGGCGGGATAGCAGCGCCTCGCAATGAAACACGCACAGCACGCCGAGTTTCTGGCGCAAGTCGGGACATGTTTTACTCGTCGCGGCCGCGCCGCAGGTCTCGGTAAAGAGCGTGGCGTAGGCGCTCGCATGCCGCTCGATGTCGGCATATAGGCTCGGCGTGTGCTCATTGTCGGGGAGCTGGGCCTCGGACATGTACAGCGAAGCGAGGACGAAGTGGCAGCGAAGCACCGTGAGCACCAAATCTGCGGCTTCGGTTGCGTCGTCGTTGTCAGAGGCGGAGGTGGCAGAGGAGAGCGCTTGGGTAAAGACGAGGCAGCTCTGGAAGAGGGAGACGAGCCGGCCAGATTCCCATAAAGTGCAGTGGACGACGCCGAGGTTATACGCGTTGGTGCTGAACCAGCGTAACTCGGCAGCGGGGAAGACGAGGTCGCCGTGGTCGTCGCGCGCGTTGCTCGCTACAAACTCTGCCGCTAATATCCCACACGGCGTGTAAGCCGACCCATGCTGCACGTAGAACCGCAGGTCACAGCAAGCGTACCTGTGTGGAATAGAGCCACCACTTCGCTGCTCGCAAAGCCGCCGTTGCTCTCGGATTCTTCTTCCTCCGCCGCAGCCATGGCCAGCAGCAGCCTTATCGCGCAGCGTAGCAGCGACGCAACATGCGCCGCCACCACCACCTCGCCCTTCCACGACGCCGCTGCTGCCGTCAGCGCCTGGACTGTGCACAGCCTCGCACCCGGGGTCTGCGCCTCTCTGACACACGCGTACAGCGCATCACGCGCCGCCTCCTTGCCGCTATTCGTCCTCGCAAAGAACTGCAAGCATTCTTGAGCGAGGGGCTGGTTCCACGCGCGGGCTGCGAGGCGAAACACGAGCACGCGCGTGGATAGGTCGTCGCGGGTCGAAGCGGGGAGGGACTCGAAGAGCGTAAAGGCGTCGGTGTAGTCGCCGAGGTCGATGAGGACGGCGAGAAGACGCCGTTGGAAGACGGGTGTGTTGAGCGAAGGAGTGAGAGAAGGATGGAGAGCGAGATGGCAGTACGAGAGGACGACGGTGTAGCGTTTCTCTGCGTATAGGGACTGGATCAGCTTCCAGAGGGCCTTTGGGAAATGGGGGTTAGCGGGTAAAAGGACGAGGGGAAGAAGAACAAGAACAGGGGGCAACGGACGGTGTGGATGGAGTGGATGGCAGAGGGACCGAGGCTGGTGGCATGGAAATGAATGCAGTCGAGGAGGTGAAAGGCGTCCCAGATGGCTTCCAATTCCGGTCGTTGGAGGAGCGTTTGTACTTGCAACACTGCCGCGTTGTCGAGAGCGGTGCGGTGACTGGGTGGCAGAGGATGTTTGCTCATCTTGTCTGGCAAGGTGTGTGTGTCTGCCTAGAGAGGATGTTGTCTACAACCTGCAAACAGTATTGCAAACGACCAATTGGTGTGTTGATGGTCTTTCAAACAGCTAACAAGTTGACAAACAAAAGATCAAGACTGCTTACTCAGCCCCTTCTATCTCTTCATCACCAGCATGACTGCACAGAGGTATTATTTTCTCATAATGTACACAAATTAACTTGTTCAATTGTGTATGCTATTCGATCTTGCGGATCCTGGAAGATCGCATCTTTAGGTTTTTAATATACAAAAGCTTACGCCCACCGCGCACTTGCAGACATTGACACTGCACACCAGCTACATCAATCACGCACCAAGCTCAAGGCCGGTACTGGTCACTGATCTGACCGCTAGTCTGAGGAACAACATTCTCGCGGAAGTACTTGCCATTCTCGCCCATCATGTTGCCCGGGGGATCGTACTTGCAGACGACGTTGGTGCCATAGCTGCACTTGGCCTCGGCGCAGCCCACGCTCGTGGTGCCCTTCCACACGAGCTGCGTAAAGTGGCCCGTTTTGCCACCGAAGCCAGGCTGGTCAAATTTGTATTGGGTGCGCTCCTTGCCCCAGAGGTTGACCCATTCGTACGAGGCGGACACACTTGTGCCCCAAGCAATGTTCTCACCGTATTTCCGGTCAGTCTGTTCGGATGGTTAGACAGGTACAAAGGATAAAGTTGCCGTCTTGGCTGGAAAATCTTCATACATCGTGGCGAGGGTTCTCGGAGCACTTGGATGCCCAGGCGAGAGACTTGCTAGCCAGGTTGTCGTCCCACTTCAGCGCGGCGGCCGAGTGCTGTCCGCGGTACCAATTGTGAGCGGCGAGCATCTGGCTCTTGAAGTCGCTGCTGCCGCCCGCACCGGGCTCAGTCTCGCCAGGCTCAGTCTCGCTGGGCTCAGGCTGGCCGGGCTCAGTCTTGCCGGGCTCTTCCTGGCCGGGCTCGACCTTGCCGGGCTCTTCCTGGCCGGACTCTTCCTGGCCGGGCTGCCAGTCGCCGTGGTCCCAGTTGCCGTGGTCCCAGTTGCCGTGGTCATAGTTGCCATGCTCAAACTTGCCGTGCTCAAACTTGCTGGGCTTAAAGTTGCCAGCCTCCCAGCCGCCGGTCCCCCAGGAGAAGGGCGTGGCATGGGCCATGGCGGCCAGCGCCAAAACAGCAGTCTTGGAGAACGAATCGGCGAGCATTTTGAAAAGGAGTGGATAATTCAGAGAATGAATAAAGTACCGGACTGGTCTTGAAAAAGAATAAGAAGGAAAAGAAGGAGAAGAAGAAGAAATGAAGTTGCTTCTGCTAAACTCGATATCGTGGGGGAAAGCAGAGCCTTTTGTACTGCCTGGTCTCGATATGCCAATGACATGGGCTTTCACACGGAGCTGCATCTTCAAGTGTCTAGACCACGCACCGACATACAACTTACATTGTATGGCCTCAGTGTAGATGCGGCCCAATCATGTCGCGGTATCCCACGACATATTAGACAAATTCAGGTACCCGCGGGATAGCGATGGTGGCGTGCATTTTGACGAATCTCGACTGGGGTATACCTCCGCGTGCCTCCGGATAGTGCCATCTTATGTGAGCTGGCAGGGGAGAGACAGAAAAAGCGCCATTCGGATGATATTCCAGGAATAACTCACTCCACAAGGCCAATAGCCTTCAAACTTGGCTAAAACAGTGTGGCGGGTCTTTTCAACAAGGGAAAAAGGAGAAAAGCCTTACAAATGAAGGACCGCCATGTTTTTATGAATGTTCGTATTCCCAACATAGGCAGGAGGGGCGGCGCATCATCAAGTGGCACTGCAACAAAACGGTGCCAGTCCCAAAAGGGCATGTCGGCAAGTGCGAGACTAAAATCATCCCAACCACGTTGCAACAGAGTTATCTGGTATGCATGTAATTGCCGAAAGGCGGCCGGTTCTTGGCAGTCCTGGTAGGCATCATTGGGGGAAAAGTTTCGATGCTGATCCATTGGGCGTTGACGCACCAGTACCCCATGCCTCACCAAATTTTCCGTCAGAGGTAGATAAAGAAGATCGGCATTCGCCCAGGCACAAGATGCCTGGCGCCAGGAACCAATAGACACGAGACCCCACTACTATAGAAACAATATACATGTTGTGCCGATGCTTGGTGAATCACGCAAACCTCTCCAGCATCGGCGCTTGGGTGGGCAAGGACAAGGCAATTCGTAATAAGTCACTGGGTTCTTCGCCACGCGACACGTATCCGGCAACTGCGAAAGGGCCAATGCGTCAGATGTAGTGCCACATACAATCTCAGGTCAGCAGTGTAGCGAGACCAAATATTGTCGCCCAATCCGTGTCGGGGCCTTGTGGTTCCTTCGGTGTTGACTGGCGAAGTCACGGCGTTAAATCCCTCGCGATCACTTGTTGGCTTGTGAGCTCGGCTGCTGACGAATGCAGAGAATGCTCCGTCATGGCTTGCTGAGCGCCATGGTTCGGATTTGGGAATAAGTTTTTTGGGTAAATCCTTCATCCCATCTTACCGTAATGGTGTATATCCGAGCCACAAAATAAGCTCAAACGAATGTCTAAGTCGTTGTCGCTAATGTCAATATTTCGCTACCGTTTGCGATAATTGCTTCCACAACAGTCAAATTATCGACCACACATCGTCCGGTCGGTGTATTCGTACGAGTGTCTATCTTCGGTCGAAATGCATCACTCCGGCGACGGCGAAGGGATCCTCGGGAGCGACAGTCTCACGACAGCAAAATCTCCAACAAGTCGGTGAGAGCACCGTCGGCTTCCCCCTTTACCGTCTGCAGCATGACCAGCATCTCGAGCACCTCAATCCGCCGCTTCCTGAACTCGACCTGTGCCTCTGCCACAATTCTATTCGCTTCCTCGAGTGACTCGCGCGAATTCAGCCTGGTCAGACAGCGGACCAGGACACCGAGTGCCACGAGCTTTGCTTGTTCACGCGTTCGGAGCTCTGCGTCAACAACCGTTGTGTCTCGGAAGCTGCAAGGCGCAGACGCCTCTGCTGCGGCGCGCCGAAGCCAAGGGACGGCAGCCGCTATGTTGGTCTTTGAAACAAAGCTTTCCCCGATCTGGGTCAGGATCTGCACAAGTGTCGTGCGGGTGCCAGCGTCGACAAAAGGCGTATGCTGTGTAGCTTTGGTGTACATGTGTTCTGCGAGATCGAGACGGTCGTCTTTCCATGACTGCGATGAATCAGTCAAGGTACCAAGATGCCCGAAAATAAATGGAGATTACCAGTGCGATTCGCAAAATGTAGTAGCTGGCATAGTCTGCATGGCTGCTGCCGTCACTTTCTGCTGGCGCGGTACTACTAGGGGTGCAAGGAAGATAATCTGTAATTCTCTGTAGCGCAATTCGTGCACACTCCAACTCTGCATTGTTGATGCAGGCTTTGCACAGGGCGAGACCAAGTCGTATCAGGTATGCTGCCGACTGAGCGGCGTTTGCATCAGGACGGCCCAGGAGACCGATCCCAAGAAGCAGATAGCCAAAGAGTCTTGCACGTAGGCAAATCTGAGTCTGGCATATTTGATCATTGGCTCCCATAGCTGCGTTTTGTTTGCGCAAAAAGATGTTCCATATTCGTCGGCCGATGCTTTCCAGCTGTTGGGCTGTGTCTTGCTCCAACGAGCCCGCCGGGAATTTGTTCGGCTCGTTTGCTCGCAGGCTATAGTGCTCGATGTCGGAGAGGCTAAGTCCCTTGTCTGTTGATGCTAAAGACTCTAGTTCGATGGCAAAGTCTTGTTATGTCTAGGTTAGCTCCTGTCAAAAACTGGTCTGCACAAACCCACGGAGGAGCGCCGCAGCCGCCTTGTTTGCTACGATTGATGAAGGAGACCGCTTTGCTGATATTTTGAAGTCCATCGTCTGGCTCGGGAGCTCTTTACCTAGGTGTTGGATTGCTGGTGTATTTTTGCCTCGGAAGTTGGATTGCGATCGTCGGAGTTGGGGCTCTCTCGGTGGTGTAGGCAGATGCTTAAGGGACTGCCTGCCCACGGGAAGGCAAGTGAAGTACTAAATGGAACCGCAAAAAAAAAAAACCAATTCTCGGTTTATGAAAGATCTCCTGAGCTATTGAATTGGAAAACTGACTCGAAGTTTTCTAGGCCAGCATTTGAATAAGAAGAAGAAAAGTCCATCTCAACAGTCCAAGCAAGCGAACCGGGTGCGTCTTTCGCATGTTTCTTAGCAATCTTGTTTTTTTTCATCATAGCAGCGACACATCTTTCTGTCTTCCCAAATCTCCTCGTGAGCTTCAAAAACAGCTAGTCACCTCAGGTAGTGTGTTTTTCCATGTGACAGTCACGACCAGGGATGGTGTAGAAACACTGGTGTAGAGGCAAGCCGGCATCACGGCACAGCTCGCACAAGCCAGGACAACCGAAGAAGTCAGTAGATATGTCAAACCAGGGAAAAAGTGTTGAAGTTGAGTAGGCAGACTCGACGTCAGGCAAGATATGAGCCCCGAGGCGGCCCTCGAAGTCTTCTTCTCTCAGAGGGATCAGCCGATGTCGCCGACAGGCCATGCGAAGTCCGCGGCGCCAGGCGCCCCTTGATTTCAGCCAATCTTCATTTGACATGGGGTTCCATTCCAAGCGGGAGCGCAGCTTTGTCAGTCGTTCAAAGGCTCGTCGTTTGGCATTGTCGACCGAGCCATGGGTTTCAATGCTGAGACGGTCGACATCTGCCATATCGATCAACTTCCATCCAGTGGTGTTGATTTGCAATTTACGTCTCCTGCAGCGCAATTTATACCCTTCAGCCGAGTAAGGAGGAACCACAAGAGTAGGGAGGTTCACGACGTGGCACATGGGCAGATTGTACTGTTCCACGGCCTGCATGGGACGCAACGCGCGGTATCGTGGGTTGTCGCTCAGGCACTGAAAGCAAAGACGTCTGCATGATAGAAGATGCAAATATTCTCCAGGACAGCTGCAATCATCACAGTCAGGTTTGACGAGCTTCCTGTACATGTCGGAGCAGACGAGTCTGTGGCCAACCTTGGCTGCAGTGACCGCTCTCATGGCATCTGGCGCGCAGCTGAGTAAAGGACGGAGCTCCGGCAGGCTGCGAACTACACGTCCCATGCCCTTGCTTGTACATGCAAGATTGGCAAGCGAGACAAGGTCGAGCTGGTGGAAAATCTGGTAGATTATCTCGTTCGGGACGCCGCGAAAGAACCCGGCCAGGTTGTCATTAAAGTTGAGCACTTCAGCACTCGCCAGCTTGAAGATTGTAGAACGTGATTTCGACTGCAATCGTCCAGATAGACTGCAAGCGAGAGCATCCTCGGCCAGAAATGGATTGGGGCGGTCAAGTGGTACCGCCATGATGGAAGCGACGAGCCTGTTGGGGCGATGAGCGAAAAGGAGGCCTATTATCTATTCTGACCGTCGGATACGAGAAGGATGATCAGTTGAGGTTGAAGAAGAAAAGTGGCTGGACACTGAGAAAAAAAGATGCGGTGTTGAGTAGACGAGGTCAGCGATGCAGTGAATCGGCCCTGACCTGGTTCTGAGGATACAGTCAGCCAAAGAAACCATTGTGAGTACCAAGCAATGGCCATCGCTAGGCGGCAGGAGTCTCGAATATTCGGAGATGCAAAAAGCACTATTGTCATCTTTTAAACTGAATTGGAGAGTGAGCATCACTGCCAATACCGCCCAAGGACCCCTCTAGCATAGCACCCTAGGCACGAACAGGCTCAGTTTGCACAAGTTTCATTTTCGTGTCGCCAATCGTATTCAAAACGTACAGACACTGTATTTACCTTGGTATGTATCCGTGCTCTTGAAGTGCAGAAGCTGACGACAATAAAAGCAGAAAACTGTGAATATAGCAAAGAGCATCAATCACGAGAAAGGGGCAAGAGAACAGAGAAGATGTGACTTAATCAGAATTACCACCAGACTTTTAAGTAATCGCTTTCAACTGTCATTTCACCGTCTGAAGTTCCCCAAGCAATCGTGTCGTTCGTTCTCTGCGTGTGCAAATCTCGCTCTCGAATATCCCAACTAGTTTTGCTTTCCCTTGTATTGAATCATCTTCAAAAATAGCAAAATATGCGCGGTAGCTCAAGCTCGGTATGGTCCCGTTCTCGCGGAAACCTGGATGCTCATTCTTCAGAATCAGCCCTCCTCGTCGTGACGGGCCAGTCCAGCAAGTTCGAGTCTAACTAGACGAAGGACGCTTGCGATGGACTCCGTTCTCGACATTGCCCATGGCAATGAGATGTTTCGTGTAGCACTCTACAGTCATGTACACCGGCGATGCATGGTAGTCGCGACAAGCCACGCACGTGACTGGTATACCAACCGAACCGGTGTCCTGATCGTAGTAAGGAAACAAGACAGACGCTGACCAGGAAGCCTCGACAGGTGGTGTTTCTTGATAGCTCAAAAGTCTATCTCTCCTCCTGAAAACTTGAGGCGAATAGCTTTGTAACCAAGATAATCTGCCAGCGATGGCTTCCATCAACCTTTCTGATGAGCCGTGGTGCTCGATGCCGCGGCGCCGGGCAATCTCGCGGTCAATCAGGCGCCAGCCCGTGGAGTTGATTCGATTGCGTCGGTACCGCGACTTACGCGAGTATTTAGGTACCTCGAGCTTCGGTAGACGCATAACCATGCTCATATGCATACGAAACTGCTGCGCGGCCTGCATGGGGCGGAGTGGTCGGTATCGCAGGTTCGTCGTGAGACACGTCGAACAGAGACGATGGCAGGCAAGCAGGTAGAGGTACTGGCCAGGCTCATCGCACAGGTAGCACATGGGTCGAATGAGGGCATTGTAGAGGTCGCGGCAAGACACCATGGTGTCGATCTTGGAGGCAGTCATGATGCGGATGACATCAGGAACGCAGCGAAGGATGGTGTGAAATTCGCGAATCGTGTCCACGGCACGTCTCATGCTCTTGCTGACGCCCTGGAGACGGATGAGGCCGCGAAGATCAGTGTCAACGAGTATCTGCTGCAGCGTTTCGAATGCTAAAACTTCAAAATTGCCGAGATCGGCCTTGTCGAGAACGGTCTCGGTGTCGTGCCATTCAAAGGTGCGAACGGCGCGTCTCACAGGGAACCGGCTGGACAGACTAGGGTCCAGAATTCTTTCAGTCATATCGAACGGTTGTGTTGCTCACTCAGGCTGACAAGGCAGAGTCCAGGGTGCTGAATAGAGGAAATTTTCAAAGCTAAGTGGATGAGATTGAAAGGGGAAGTTGCTGAGACCCAAGGCCATTCATTCTCCAGAGCAGCTTGCAGCACAAACAGAAGCTGCAGAGCAGGAAGGCAATCACCGAGGGCACTTGCTTGAGTTATTGGTCAATGCACATTGTAGACGCGTTTCTCAGATGGCGGACCTCCAACAAACGAGCCTCATCTTCGCGGCCACGACAGCGTCAGTCGATAAGCAGCAATAGTAATATCAGCATAGCAAGTGGGCTAGGCTGAGTAAGTAACAAATAGGAAATCGAGGATAGATCGATAAGATCAAGCGCCTACAATACCAAGATATTAATCAAGCATTCGATGCACCATGACAAAAACATACAAGCATCAGTAGCTAGCTGCGGTTCTGTACATCGCAGCCAATCCCAAAATCCCACCGGGAACGCCGATGTCAACTCCTGGATCTCAGCAAAGATAAAATAAAAGGACAAACAAGACTCGGCACTTATTCCGGCGTAGACGGGTCATGAGGCAAAAAGTTTCCCACAATTAGCGCAGGCCTATGATCGCATTAGTATCAGAAATTGATATAAAGAGGGTATATGGACATACAGCTTATGCTCGTCGCGACGAATGGTGAAAGAAAAGCAGCATTTCATGATCGGATGATCTGACGAGTCGCTGGGGTTCTTGAGCGAGCACGCAGTGAGGAGCGTGTCGTGGGAGGGGTCAAAGGCAATGGTACCAAACTCCTCCCAGTACCTTACCATGGACTCTTCGGTTAATATCTCATGAAGAGCAATTTTGCCCTACATCCTTGTTAGCAAAGTTGAAACAAATAACACTCCATCGGAGCCAGGAAGTGGATTAAGTGAAGACTCCAAAAACCCACGTCAAGCGCAGCGAGGAAGTAAACAAGCTTACATCACGTAATTGATCGACAGGAACGTTGATGAGCTCTGCCATCTCTTTATTTCCTCGAAAGATCTCCCCTGTTCGTCGCCAGCAGCATGCCGGCACTGCCATGCTAGCAAAGACGCGGTCATAGTCCATGAGCTGGCGCTCAAACCACATCTCGACATAGAGCAGCTGCAAATCCGTGAGACCTTGAGCCTTCTCCCTAAATTTTGGCCGAAAGTGATGGATAGTGCGGAGAATCTTTTGTTTCGAGGAGGCGGCAATGTGGCCGTCAAGGTACTTGCCGAGACGCGCGTAGCCATTGATGTAGTTGAAGGGTTTAAGAAGTCCCGCGTCGTACTTGGCCATGAGCACGCGCGACATGCGCTCCTCGCCAATGGCGTTACCTGCGGGGTCGGCGGCCTGCAGATAATATTCGCGCTCTTTGTCCTTGTCGGCAGTGGCGGCGATGCGTGATGAGCGCGTGCGACCGGAAGTACTGGCCGAGGCGGCGCTCGCGGGAGGAGGCGGGGGCATGGACGTGGTCAGATTGGGGGAGCCGGACTGAGCGGCGTTGAAATTGGCGGCGAGTTCAGACTGGCTACGGGCATATGTCGGAGTGGTGGTCTGGGTATCGTCAGGAGCGATACCAGGCTCATCGAGTAGATTACTGTTGAGAAAATCATTGAGAAGCTTGAACTCGTTGACATTGTCGCCGACCATGTAGTTGGGGTTGTACTGGTTCATGCCATTGAAGTTTTGGGCTGTGAGCCAAGCATCGGAAAACCCAGCGACTAAGCACGTCAGTATACAGAAGTTTAGCATCCCAGAATAGATGTTACATACACTGGTTCATATTCCCGGTTGGATTAATTGCGCCGGGCTGCAAATCCAGGCTGGGAACCATGCCGAGCCCGTTACCCTGGCTGAGAACGCCGCCAAAGCCAGAGTCTGAGCGCTGTCGGCCGTTGAATGTTGGCGGAGGGCCCATGTTGGTAGATGTGGAAGAAGCGGCTTCGGAGTCATCAACAGAGTCCTGCTTGGAGGACTTTGGCTTTTTCATGTCGCTCTCGCGGGGTTGATCGTGGCAGAGGTGACCAATATTTCGTTTTATGCACCTTGTGCAAGGTCGCTCCTAGAGTCGGTCAGCTGGCGGCGGTAGAAAGCTAGGCACATAAGTCGGGTACGTACAAGATCACAAGTCATGTGCTACCAGCAGTCAGTAAGGCAAAGTCAAACTTGTCGCAAATGGTAAGGACTCACAGAGCGACGGCAGTAGACACAGGCGTGGTTCACCTTGCGGCGCTTTTTGGGGCTCGCTTTTTGCGCACCGTTGCCATTCTGGTCCTTTGAGGCGACTTCTTTGGCGTTCGCACTGGTTTTGGACTTGATCTTGTCCTTGCCGTTGGGGGCGGCATCGAGAGATTTACGGTCCGTCATGTCGTACGAGCTAATCCCATTGGACAAGGTAGCGTAGGACGAACGGTGTCGAGTTCGGCGGAGTGGGCTCGGCAATTCAGAAAACGACGTGTCACTCCTCGTAGGTTTATTAATTTATCGGGTTTTGGAAGCGTCGCTTCAGGAGCAGTTTCCATGTGCCAATGGTCAAGGTAAGGTAGTAAAGCAAATTTGCGTCGTGGTTTCGGGGGCCAGATGGAGGCGGATATTAGGGCGCAGGTATATGGAGGCGTCGCGTGGTAGTAAAGTGGCACCGGAATTGCAGCGGCTTGAGATGTTGATCGCAATAGATGTCGACAGGTGTGTGTCGGGGCGTCGCGTCGTGGTGGTTGTTGGAAGCGTAAAACGTGGTAATTATGTGGGAGCGCAAAAGCCGCGGTTCGGTAACATGAGCTGAGAATCACAAGTGCACCAACACTCGAAGGGCGCGGCCAAGACCAGTTGCAGCAGGTCGCTAGATGAGGAAAGTCCGAAACGATGTGACAATATTCGAAAGAGGTCAATTGTTTCGCTCGTTACACAGTATATGGCCGTCTTAGATTGTGTCGGTCGGCCTGCTGGGAAAACGTGGGGAAGTGAAGGAGGGAAGAGGAGCAGCTGAAGATTGAAGATTCGAGGCGGCCTGTCTGGCGGAAGGCTTAGCCATGTTGGGCGGGCCGGCAACGCACCCCAGCTTCCTGTCAGCTGGCGACCAAATGGGTCTTGCAAACGAGCAACTGGAAACGGCCGCTATTATTTAGCCACTAACAGTGCCCGTATTCTTGCTGAGCAAATATTCGCAATCAGATCACGGTCTATTACCCTGGACATCTACAAGCAATTCATCACTTCCTTCTCAGCCTGTATCTCAACCGGTATTTCAACCTATACGCAACGGATCTTTTATGTCTCGACCCATTTCAGTAGTATTCACAATATCCTCACACAACTTTGATTCGCATCAAATACCTCCTCCGTCGCGTTGCTCTGGCCCCATCACCCCGCGATCAAACCGCCATCTTTATCGAGTCATCATACTCACCCCTACACAATGTGTCCATCTCCAACGCGTCGTGTCTGTACATCGCTACCAGGAAGTTCAGCAGCAGCGTTCGGCAAAAGTGGCTGCTCTGGTAGCTCGATATGCATATGATTGCCGTGCGCCTCATGAACCCCCATCATAGGACCACCATACACCTCGTACGATTCGGAGCGCTGAATTCCATTCACTTCATGAACCTCTCGCATTTCATACGGACCAGCTTGCTCGCCTCCATTGACCGCTTCGCCCCCAATTATTGCCTTCTCTTTCGCTGACAGCTCGGCTCGCGTCAATGGGTGCTCGCTAACCTTGATGGCTCCGACCTCCTTGTCGAGCCCACTATCGTGTTTCCGACTGCCGCCATTCTCCTCTGCCACGACGCTCTCCGTTTTGCTTCGTGAGGCAGCCCGTCGTTTGTGCCACACGAGTATCCCGACACCAGCCATAATGAGCAACACAGCCATGGGAACTCCAACGCCCACGCCGATTTTGACGGCGGTGGACGGGCCGGAGCTGCCATGGCCGCTCGCCCCATCGACAAACACCGTTTCTGTTTCCTGCGCGACGACTATTCACCACGATTGTTAGAATCGAGTTTGCCTGACAAGAAAGACCGAAATGGGGCGGGCGGGCAAACCTAGAGAAATAGAGTCGATATGGCCAAGCCCAGCAGCAGCAACTTACCTGGAGAGCTAGTGCCGTCAGCGCCACTGGCTTTGGTCTGTGTGACGATTGTCTTTTGCGTGGTTCTGGAAGCCTGGCTGCTGTCCGTCTTTTGTCCAGTCTGCGCGCTGGACTGGGAGACGCTATCGCTGGTGGTGCTGGGAGTCGGGTCGGCAGCCTTGTAGCCCAGGACGCCGGCATCCTGCGAGTATCCCGCATCCTTACAGTAACCAGCATAGATGCTTTTCATGGAGCTGAGGTCGCGGGTGTAGTCTCCGGCAGCGCAGCGCGAGGACAAACATTTTTCGATGGCCACGCTGGCCTTGCTGACGGATTCCGTGGCAGTCGGGCAGTAGCAGTCATTCTCGTAGGGGTCGGCGCAGCCTAAAGCCAGAGGAAGATTGCCCTGGTAGTTGAACCAGGCACATAGGCGGATACACTGATGCGCTTGCTTGGGGATCACGGATGTGATGGAGGCCGACGCGCCCAAAACAGGGTTGGCCAGGGCGATCAAACCGGCCAACAAAGTGAAGAATCGTGCTCGTCGCATGATCATATCGAGGCCGGTCAAAATGTGGTGAGATTCCTGAATGAAAGAAGCACCCGAGAAGACCCTGACTGAACAATTGGCAAGAAAGTCGGGATTCAAGGACAGGTCACGAGTCCGGAATAATGGATGGCTTTCCCGAGTTATATTTCGCCTGAACTCAAGGCTTACTCAAGACTTTTCCATTAATCTATGCGCCATGGCTTTCAAGAGGCCCGCGGAGAGACCAGCAGATGATGCTTGATTGCCGGGATCAGTCTACTAATTTACCATACAGTACGGAGTGCGCCACCAACAGAGTGTTTCCGTTGGTTGGGCTGCATTCACGTCTTTTCTCTAGGATGAGCTGAAAGCCCAGAAAGAATCCAAATAGGATGCCCGACGCGAAATGGCAAGCTGATCTGCTTTTGGGGCGTGAGCTGAAACTATTCCTGGACACTATCCACGAGAATAATCCTGGCTGGACGTCGCCATTTCGCCCAATGCGGACCTTGGCTGCAGATGCCATGCAAAGAGATCAGCGCCTAAAATTATGCTTCTTTGGTGGACCTGGTAATATTGATCAGCCTTGCCGAAATCTTGAAACTCGATGGATATTGGGCTCGCAAGACAATCACAAACCAGCATCAGGGGTCCTGACCCGGGTTCCAGCAGTTTTCTCCCATTCTCGAGATTTGTGACTGAGAAAATGCGTGTGTACACATACCTGAAACAGCTTCTGCTTGGGTTGGCTGTTACGATTTCTATTTTTTTTTTTTTTTCCTCCAGAAAGGGTGTGCCATTTGACCCGGTTTGGACATAACAAGAGGTTGCCTGCATAACCAGCTGCATACGACGACGCCGAGCTGGGCCTCGACCAAGACGACACGCAGCTGAGCCCCGCGCACCACGCACCGCGCATCCGGGCGCCATCCCGACCCGTCTTGGAGGAAGATGCGCCCGCATCTTTGACTAGCATCATCCCCAGTGCCGCCCGACACTGGACGTTTTGACGTGACGTGGCTGTAGACTGGTCCTACGAACGCCCGGCGGCAAGCCACGACAGTCGGCACTCTACTAATATATGCATAGGCTTCCGGCTCTGGACCTTGAATACTGCCTGCGTCTGCTCAAGAAGCCAAGAAAGGTGGCCGGCCTCTTCTTCCATAATCCGTTTGCTGCTGCTGATAATGTCGAGCTCCCTGGCTCTATGGTGCTATGTATGTACTGAAAGCCAAGATGGAGAAGAGGCAAGGCAATCCACTGCACAGACATGGATTGTATTCTGATAACTTGAAAAGAAGATATCAGTAACAGACGCATAATCTCTGAAGAATTTTCTTCATCGTTGAAGAGTAATAAATGCTAGCAGCAGACTCTCAGACTGGTGGCGTAGTTTCACAGCGGCCTCCATTTCTGCATTCACGCGCTGTTCATCCCAGCCACAAGCAATATCCATCTTTTAACAAAAAAAGCAAGCCATGGCATTATATCATTCCCATTCTTTAGCATGTTTCATTCCTCATAACCATCATCACATCGCAACACTCGATTTTAAATATACACGAAAAAGCTCTTCTCCCCTTCCTTGGGCGTCACCCTCGCCCTCTTCATAATGTCATCCTCGCATGCCAACCTGATTCTCTCCGCCGTCGCCGGGCTCTCCAGCCTCAGCAGGCCCTGATCATCATCCTTGCCCAGCTCCTTTACCTCGACGCCGTGAGCTCTCCTCGCCGCCTTTAATGCATCGCGAATCGCAAAAAACACAACGCTTCCCAAAAAGAGCGGAGGTTCGCCGACGCCGCGACTACGCTGAATGGTGCGGAGCTCCTTCCACTCGACGTCTTTGAGGAGCGCGACGTTGAATTTCTGCGGAATGTCGCGGAAGCCGGGGATCTTGTAGGCGCCGGGCCCGCGGGTGAAGAGCTGGTTGGCCATGGGGCCGGCGCGCAGCCACAGCGACTCTTCCATGGTGAAGAGGCCCATGCCCTGGACGAAAGCGCCCTGGATCTGGCCATAGTCGATGGAGGGGTTGATGGACCGGCCGACGTCCATGAGGATGTCGGTTTCGAGGCAAGTCCACGAGCCGGTCAGGGCGTCGATTTCGACTTCGGCCGCGGCGACACCCTGGGTAAAGTAAAAGTACATTTTGCCCTTATTTTCAGCCCAGGAGTAGCCAATTTCGGGCGTCTTGTAGAAGCCCTGCGCGGAGAGGTTGACACGGTCGAAATAGGCGGCGTGCGCGAGGTCCTTCATTGGCGCATCCTTGCCGAGCTTTGCGCGGTACGGCTGCAGACGCTCGTTGAGCTGCGCGCAGGCATTGTACACGGCGAAGCCGTTGAGGTCCGACGACGCAGAGGCTGCCGTCGGGGAGGCGTTTGCGACGGTGTTGGTCGCCGTCTCCGAGATGAAGACGCTGTCCACCGGCACGGAGAGCGCCTGCGCGGCAATCATGACCATCTTGGTGTGCAGACCCTGGCCCATTTCCGTGCCGCCGTGCGCGACCAGCACCGAGCCGTCGTGGTAAATGTGCACCAGCGCGCCCGCCTGGTTCAGCCAGAGCGCGGTGAAGGAGATGCCAAACTTGGTTGGTATAATCGACAATCCTCTCTTCCGCCACATGTTGTCCGCGTTGAACTGCGCAATCTCTCGGCGCCGCTCGGCGTAGCGGAAGCTCTCGTGGACTTGCTTGTACATGAGGGGCACGTGCCAGTCCTGCAGCGCCTGGTTAAAGTGCGTGTCCTCGTCGGGCTTATAGAAGTTGATTTCGCGAAGCGTCTCCACCGGCATGCCCAGACGGTCGGCAATTTCTTCCATGTACGTCTCAGCGATAAACATGCCCTGAGGACCGCCGAAGCCGCGAAACGCCGTGTTGGAGACGGTGTTGGTCTTGCAGACGCGGCCGCGGATCAGCACGTTGGGGATGCTGTAGCATCCGTCGGCGTGCGCCATGGCACGCTCGCAAACCGCGGTGCTGAGATCAAATGTCCAGCCGGCATTGTTGTACACGGACAGGTCTAGAGCCTGGAGCTTGCCGTCCTTGTTGACGCCGACCTTGTAATGCGCCAAGAATGGATGGCGCTGGCCCATGGTTAGCATGTCTTCTTCGCGCGTGAGCATGCACCGGACAGGACGCTTCGTCTTCTTGGCGGCCAGAGCGACGACAGAGCTGAGAATCACGGACCGCGATTCCTTGCCGCCAAAGCCGCCACCCAATCTCTTGACGCGGACGACGACCTTGTTCGCCGACACGCCGCAGGTGCGCGCCGCAAAGACTTGCGTCTCGTTGGCATTCTGCGTGCTCGAAAAAATCTCCATGGCACCATCTTCGGGCGACGGAACAGCCAGACAGGCGTTCGTCTCGAGGTAAAAGTGCTCCTGACCGCCCATTCTGACGGTGCCTGTAAAGACGTGGTCGCAGTTTTTAAACACCTCTTCAGTGTTGCCCTTTTTCATCTCCCTGTACACGGGGTGGAAGCTTTCCTGTTCAATGGCCTCTTCCATGGTGAGGATGCAAGGCAAAGTCTCGTACTCGATCTTGACCGCGCGAGCAGCTTCCGCCGCCTTGTTGGCAGAAGTGGCCAGGATCATGGCAATTGCCTGACCAGCCGTAAACACCTCACCCTCTGCAAAGAAGCGCTCATCAAAGTGCGGTGGGCCAAACTTGTTGGCCTCTTCGTCAGGCATGTCCTTGGCGTCAATGTAGTCGACCACTCCAGGCATGTCAAGAGCCTTGGAGTAGTCAATCGACAGAATCTTGGCACGGGCTTCTGTCGATAAAACCCAGCAGCCATACAGCTCATTCTTCATCTGCGGAATATCGTCGGTATACTGAGCCTCACCAGTAGTCTGCTTCAGGGCGGCGACGTGCGGATTCGATTTGCCCGTCACCTCGAGCTCGTATTTTTGCGCCGAGTCGTGGTCAATCTTGCCCACAGACAGCTCTCTTTCAATTTCGTCGATAGCCTGCTTGTCCGCATTCTTTCCGTCTAAAGCGGAGAGCACGTCATGGTAAAATCGATAAAAGAAGCCAAAAGCGAGTGCTTTACGGTACGAAGCCATTCCGCCGGGGACACTGAACTGCAGATCAAAGTCCCTACCGAGCGCACTCATGACACCCTCAAGCGTCTCCAGCTCGGCAAAAGTTTTACCAATGAGGTATTCTTCGGCCGACTTGGCCGAGACGGTGGTAGCCGCCATGCCGCCATAAACGAGATTTGCGTCTTGAACAAGGCCAGCATCGTCCAACTTTACGCGCAAGGCGCTGGTGACAATGGCAATGTCGTCATCTTTTCTCTTGGCTTGCTTGTAGGTCCGGTAAAACTCGCCCTTGGCAGCCGTGACTGGAATGCGAATGGATGCAATAATGGCATCAGGGGCGAGCGCTGTCTTGCGGTACCCAGTGAAGAACTGGGACATGTGAATCTCCGTCTCTTCCGAGGCCGACTTGGCGACGAGAACGGCGTTGGCGCCCCAGAAGGCAGGATTCAAATCAGAAATGGGCGAGGCCGTGACAAGATTGCCAGCAGGTGTACCAACATTGCGAATCTGGCGGCCGGCGAAGTATTTGAGCTGCTTCAGGATACCCTCAAAGACTTGTCCACGAGCCGGACCGTAGTGCTGTATGGCCGTCTCGCACAGCTTCTCCAGATCCGTCAAAGTGACATTGCCACCAATCTCCATGTGGTCGTCGTGAAGCTTGTACTGTCTGAGCTCGGCAATATCGCCGACGTAGACGGATACGGGATACTGCAGTGCTTTGAACTTGATCTCAATCTGCGTCTCGGTGCTGCCGCCGATAATCTTGGCCTGTGGGTAGACGCTCTTGATTTGCAGGAGCTGATCGAGGGTGACGGGGCGGTACCACGTCTTCTTTTTTGTGCCAAATGCCAGAGGCCGCATGTCGTGCTTTTTGAGTTGCGGTGGAAAGATAAGTTCGGTGTCGGGCTTATACTCGATGAAGCCGGGTGGGGTGAAGCGTTTGATGGGCTGGTCGTCTTTCATCTTGTCCATGCAGCATCCACCGCTGGCAGGGCCGTTGCCGTTTTCCATGCAGCAGCCGCTTCCAGTTTTCTTTCCATTTGCGCCATTTGTATCTGTGGAAGCACCGTTCGAAACACCATTCGAGACACCATTCGTCTTGGTGTCCTTGCAGCAGCCTCCGTTTGTTCGCCCGCCGCCCTTCTTCACGCTAAACGTCTGCGCAGCGTCCAAGATTGGGCGATACCCCGTGCAGCGACACAGGTTTCCATCAAACGCCTCTTCGACGTCGTGCTCCGTAGGGGCGTCATTGTTGCGCAGCAGCGCATACAAGCTCATGACGATGCCAGGGGTGCAGAAGCCGCACTGGCTACCATTTCCCCTCGCGACGCGCTCCTGGGTCGGGTGAGGGCGCTCGGTGTTTCCGATGCCCTCGATGGTGATGACGTGTTTGCCGTCGAGGCTGACGAGGGGCGCGAGGCAGGCGTTGACGGAGGCGTGGTATATTTGGCGGGTGGTGGGGTTGAACTGGGAGACGACAATGGTGCAGGCGCCGCAGCCGCCTTCGCCACAACCGCTGTTTTTTTTTTTTTGTTTGATCAGCTTCTGTCTTCCTTCATTGCGGAAAAGTCACAGGGTATTGTTTTGTGGTAGAGGCAGGGTGCATACAGTTTGGTGCCGGTAAGGCCGATGCCGCGTAGATACTCGAGGACAGTAACTTCGGGGTCGATGTCGTCGAGAACTACCCTGGTGCCGTTGAGGTAGAAGCGCAGAGTGCCGTCAAACTCGGCGGTGAGAGCGGCAAGGTCAGATGCCTTGGGCTCCTTGTTGACGTCGATGGCGATGGGAGCCATGTCAACGTCGAGGGACAGCAAGGGCTGTCTGTGATGTGGTATATTTGGTTGTTTAGATAGGCATACAAGCCTGTGAGTGTTGTAAGATGTATGCAAAAAGTTCTGTGTTGACGAGAATCCGGTAGCAGTTGAACGCTGAGATGGCAAATGGGAATGTAGAAAACAAGGCTCGACAAATGAGGAGTCGAAGCAGACGTCAAGATAAGTCACCGGGGGGCGATGGGGGACCGGATTCAGTTGGAGATTTGTAGGCTAATAGGCGCTGATAGCAGTCGGTGCTGCAATACCCCACAAACGTCGGGTTAGCGCTACAACAAGGTGGGGAAGATGTTTATTCTGCGATAAGAAAAATCAAGAAGAAAGAAGAAGAATGTGAAAAGTTGGGTTTACTCTTTTCATTTGCCTTGTCTTTTTATGCCAGAGCTGCTGCATATCTATGTCGTGGCAAATCTGTGAGGGCAATGCACAATAGCTGCAGCATGATTGGAGGCTTTTTGGTGGCGACCCATGCTGCTGCGGGGGAATCGCTTTGGCGGGATGGCGGGGAGGGCCAAGGGAATTTGGGGCGGGGCCCACACTTTTAAAGCGCCTGTAATCGCCCTGTAATCGCCCTGGGGAGGCACCGAGGCACTGGGTCGTCGGCCGGCTCCGGGCTCCTCTTCGGACAACTCCATCCGCCACGTCCCTTCTTTATCTTTCAGGAACCAGACGAACTGGCGGCTGCTGCATCAGTGTCTCTGTGTATTGAGAAATATATCTTTCCATCTTTTTCGTCGCATTCCTTTTCGATTTCTCATCCCGCATCGGCGTAAACCGGCCCTTTTCCCCCAGCTTTTAAACACACCCATACGAACCGCCTCCACTGCGTCCCATGCCGCCTGCCACTTGCTGCATGACCCCAGAGCCTGATATGATAATAAGAGCAAACGTAAAATCTATAATTCGTCTGCGTTCTAGCCCCATCTAATCCGACTCACTTCTTCTCCATCTCCTCCTCTCCAGGTTTTCCCCATCCCCCCCATCTCCTCTCTTCACCGTGTCACCTCCCCGCTCCTACTCCGTCATGTACTTTTTCAGCCCCCTCAGCCTCTTCTTCGCCTCCTCCAGCACCCCATCCTCTTTGCACACCGCGAACCGAATGTAGTCCTCCGCCAGATGCGCATTCTCATCCGTGTAAAACTCCGTCGGCGGAATCGCCGCCACGCCCACCTCTTGAATCAGGAACCACGCCAGCTTGAAATCACGCGGCCGGCTTGCCACGTGCGCCGGAAACGGGTAGTCTTCCGGAAGCTTCACCTTGGCCATGTTGACAAGCACAAAGTAGCCACCCTCGGGCTCCGAGTACGGCAGGCCCAGCTCACCCCACACCTCGTTGAATCGGTCCATCTTGCCCTTCATGTCGGTGATGGTAGACTCCCAGAAGCCCTGCGCGTCGGCCTGCTCAAAGCCCACCGCGCAGGCTTCCTGCAGCGGTGACACGGATGAGTAGCAGATGCGCGTATGCGCGGCGGCCACGTACTTGATGAGATGCTCGGGGCCAATGAGCCAGCCTGGGTTAAGAAAAAAAAGAGTCAGCGTCTTGTTGACTTCAAAAAGTGCGTAAAAAGAGCACATACCCACGCGCCAGCCTGTGGCGTAGAAGTTCTTGCCCGCAGAGCCCACCGTCAGTGTAAGCCGCTCAACCTCGGGCGACAGCGTCGCGATGCGCGTAAATGGTACATAGTACAGCTTATCGTAGACTTCATCCGACAGAATGATAATCTCGTTCTTGACGCACAAATCGGCAATCTTTTGCAGCTCGTCTTTAGAAAAGACTTTGCCCACGGGGTTATCTGTCAAAGTTAGCATCTTTGCCACCTAGCTTCCTTGCCTCTCCACTTCTTGATAACAAAGAATAATACGCACGAGGAGTGTTGATGACAATCATCTTGGTCTTGGGCGTAATAGCACGCTCCAGCTCCGCAAAGTCCACCGTCCAGTCCGCCGCCGACGACGTCTTGGTCGCGCCAGTCGCCGGCGGATGCAGCGGCACGTAGACAATCTTGCCTCCAGGCATCTGAATATTCGAGATATACCTAGCACTCTGTCAGTCCATCATCACGCCGCTTGTCTGAGTTCCTACGTACTGATCGAAAAAGGGCTCAAAAATGATAACCTCGTCGCCTTCTTCCAGAAACGCCATGAACGCGCTCAGCATGCCCTCGTTGGCTCCCGTCGTAATTGTCACTTCCGTCTCGGGGTCAATGTCCCGGCCCCAGTGCGGCGAGTACGAGTCCGCAATCGCCTTCTTGAGCCGCGGTCGGCCCTTGGTCGGCGAGTACTGGTTGCAGTCGACGCGGTCCAGCGCCTGCTTGGCCGCGTCGAGAATAAATTGCGGCGGGTTATATCCGAAGAAACCTTGACCCATGTTGACAATCGGCTGCTTGGGCGAGGCGGCCGCCGCTTCGTTGATGATGGACCTGCAAAGGGAGACTTGTGTGTCAGAATCATGACCTCTGCACTACGTAACGAATCTCAGAGGGGAGGAATTGCAAGAGAGTGCCCTTCTTTCCTTTGCTTTAGTTCTTACCAGACGTCTTGCTTCTGGCCAGAGACCCGCGCCGCGGGCTTGAGCTTTCCGGAGAGGCTCATGGTCGCGCAGAGTCCTCGCGTCGTGGTGCGGAGTGCAGTTGGGGTAATCAGAGAGGCGCCGGCGACGGCGAGCTTGCGAGCAAGAGGACGGGTCGACGCAGTAAATGTAGACATTCGTCGGCTACCGAATCTCGTGTATCTCAAGCTTCAACAACGTCGTCGAAAGGTATGGTGCTGCGTGGATGAATTGCGCAACTTTCAGCAATTGGACCCCTCCTAATTGCGTGTGACGTCTTGTCTGTCTGGTGGGGAAGAGCCGTTATCGCAGCTACGGTACGGATAGAGGCTAGGCCAACTAGGCCTCGCATAGCTTTAGTAGAATGGCGTGCTGTCAAGCGGGGTAGACGGCGCACTACACAAGAGAAGCTAGTAACCTATGGGAGATTATTCTAGTATAAAATTGAACATGTCATCAAGTCGATATATTATTATAGGTGTAGGGATTTTTAGTCTCAACGGTAGATACTATTAGAACTTCGTTACAGTGTCAAACCTGGTGGATGATATATCAAGACAATTGCCTCTTTGACAAAGCTAAGAACACTTCGCAGTCAAAATATTACATCTGCTCATCAACTGCAAGCACATTACTTTCGCGTTCAAGTCTTATGATCTCTGCAATTTTTTTCTTCTTCGTTTAATATATATGGAACTACTGTGGTTCAGAGTGAGCCATCCACTGGCAGAACTAATTCCGTCCAAGCCCTGTGATGTGCGTTGACAACTGGTCTATATAGACCTACTCCCACGCCGCAGCATTCGTTTTCACAAAATCAGCCAAGCTCGTAGGTTTCTCATCAACAAGACGCAGACTATCATCAAGACTAGCTCCGAGAAAGTAGCCAGGGTCTTCAATAAATAGCAGGTTCTCAAGAAGCTCCTCAGCCATATTCTCGGGCAGCGACTTGCGGAATTGGTCTGCAGTGACCTGGACGAACCTCGCCTTTTTGCCAGTCACCTGGGAAAACGTTTCAACAATTTGCTCGCTGGTATAATAGTCACACGACGCGAGAATACGCTTCCCATTAAGCGTGTCTTTGTGTTTCAAAGCGGCCTTGACAAACAGTCCTAAAAAGTACAGTTAGTGAAATGGCCATTGACGAACGCAAAGGCGCCACAGGGAAGAAGCCCAATTTACCAGTGTCGTTGGCAGCATCAAAGAGAGGAAACTTGGCTTTGTTACCGTCGACAGGAAAAACCAGTTGATATGCCCCGTCATCGCCCTTGCGAATCATGGTCGTGAGGTTCTGCATGTAAAATCCTGGCAGGACAAATGCACACTTGATCCCCGACGACTTGATATACTTTTCAACGTTTGCCTTGCTGTCGAAATGCGGCACGTGCTTCAGTCGGCCGTTTGACTCCTCGGTGACATGTAGGAGAGAGGAAAAGATCAAATACGAAACATCGCAAATTTTGGCAACATCGGTGACGTTTTTGCCCTGCGAGTACTCGAGGTTGCCATCGGCCTTTTCCCAGTAGTTTGTAACGAGAAACACGGCATAAGACCCTGCCAGAGCTTTCAGGAGAGAATCCGTCGAGTTCAGATCGGCCTGCGACACACGTGGTTGCTGTTAGATGCGCCGCGATAGCGTTTTTGCTGCGTTCTAAATCCAGAAAAACTGACCGAGACAACCTCGACCCCTCGCTTCTCCAGTGCCTTGGCAGCCGGCTTGGACGTGTCGCGAGTAATGCCGCGAATTTTGTACTCTTTGGAAAGCTGAGCATCACGTAGGATGTGGTCGATGACGGACCCGCCCTGGTTGCCGGTGGCGCCGAATACAGTGATGAGTTTAGACATGGTGGAAAAAATTTAAGAATCAACTGTCTACAGAGGATGTTTAGGATCAAGGATACTTGTAGCGAACTTATATTCTTCAAGTCCCAGGTCGAGAGGGGCCTACCATCTTGCCTCGAATTGATTTCGGCGCGATAACAAATACATCACGTCATCGCAAAAGCTGAGGGCATAAACCGAAAGGCAAGTGAGCGAATAACTACCTACATAGACTGCAAACGGCGGCACAAGCGTAGCATCGGACCCATAAGGCATGAGCGGGGTAGAGACCGTGATGTATTGCTAAGCTTTATCTAATCACTCCACGTTGAGGTATATTGCACGTGAAAGAAGCAAAACTCAATCTACACAGCATAATGTTGCAGTTGAATAATGAATTTCAAATCAAAACAAAACGCCCCATTAGAAAACACTAAACAGTACATGGGCCAACGCTGTCTGGCTACTATACAGCCCCGTAGGCAGAGACTGAAATGTCTCGCCAGTAGACAAATTTGAGCAAAAAAGACAAAAAGCAAGAGAAGAAGTAAAAAAAAGAAAACCACCACCCGATTTTTGCGCCGTTACATCTCACGTACGCGCTCGAAGCGCAGCACTCCCTTTTCATACTATAGTATACGTCCCAAGTCCCATCCAAACGCCGGGTATGAAAATCGAGGAAAACAACCCAGCTGAAGCAAAAACAATCAACCATAGAAAGCAGATCATCATATTCGTCTCCAGCGTACATTTCGAACTCGGTAAAAGTCTGGTCATGGATTTGGCGACATCCCTTGTTGTGAGGCCCGTCGTAGATTCCGCATCATGTTATCGACAAATTCCATCGATTCTCGGCCCGGAACATCAACAAATTCTTGCTGCTCCAGCTGCGCTTGGTTGCTTTGTCGTAGAATGGCAACTGTAGAGTCGGCTGCCGATGAGTTGATATCCACATCGCCATTATACTGCGCTGTGTGCATGTTCTTCAGTGCCGAGGCATGCTGCTGCGGCGTCAGGGCAAACGAGGGAAGCGGCACTGGTGTCGTAGATATCTTTGCCGGCTCAATTGGCTTCGCAGGCAAGGTTTCGCTTGAAGTCGCCCGTGTTGCCTGTGCTGCTGACATTGTCGATGGAGGCGCGGGCTGAGATGCCTTCACTGGCGCACTTGCTGGAGTCGATGTGGCCATTGCTGCAAGGAAGCCCGGTGGGAGCGGTACCGGCGACTGCTTCGAGGGTATTTGGTACACCTTTTGAAGTGGTGTTGCTTTTGCTTTATCTGTCTTCGATGGCGGCGTAGCCGCAGGTGAAATCTTAGCGTTATGTGTCGCAGTACGATGTTTGCTGTTCTGCGGAATGCCTGCCGAGGGTAAGGATCCGGCGAAGCTCAAACGCCGCATCATATCAGCCTGACTACCGTTGGCCATTAACGTGGTTCTGTAATTGGTTTCATAGCCGTTGATAAAACCACCGTAGGTTGCATATGGCGTGCGGTACCGGGCCGGTTCCCTGTTGTAGTGGACCTGGAAGTACTGATACGTCTGATACACGGACGGGTGTACACTGTACCTGGGCCCCTCTGATTGCGTGTTGTTCCAGCCCATTTGTGCTGGCTGATGGTACGCCGGAACAGATGCCTGAACATGTCCATACTGCTGATGCGTATACGGCCTACTCATGACCGTATTTCCGACGCTCAGGGGTGGAATATAGCCTCCGTTGTATTGCTGGTGCATGTAGCCGCTCGGCACGCCTTGGCGGTACTGCTTGTACTTCGGCGCTGTAACAGGCTTTGGTGGTTTCGGGATGGTCTCCAGGAAATTCCCTCCTGGATTATGTCTTTGTTTGGTAACATCCTCGGTGTATTGAGCCTTGGCTTCTGTCGAGGTCTTGCCAAGATAATGCCACAATTGATCTGGCTTGGCAAAGTCGACCTTGGCCTGATCTTTATTGACCACATCGTCAAACAGATTGAACTCGGCCCATGTGTATCCTTCCGCAAATTCATCGTCCTTTCGCGGCTTGTCGTCATCCTGTCTCTTGGCGTTGAGTCTGTTTCTCGCCTTCTCTGACGCAGGCAGTGGTAAGGCGTTTGGCGATGCTTTGGGCAGGTGATAATCGGACGGGTCAGGTATAAGCAGCCATTTCCATTCGATTTCAATGCGCTCGCCACTGGGAACGATGCTGATCAGGAAGGTCTCCTCGTCGTGGCGGTTATCGATAACCATTCCAGCAAAGATGTCGCCCTTGGCGTACTGGAACTGGCAAATTTCGGTAGATTTGACAGCTTCGGCCGCACGATGAATGCGCTCGTCGCCCTCCAGCGCCAGGCTGTCGAGCTTTTTATCTCGTCGGGTGCGGTGGAAGCGGCAGCTAAACTCGAATGCTTGCTCCTTGTACTCTACACCATCTTGGCCATATACTGGGATATCCTGCTCCTCGATGAATACACCAGCGGCAGCGGCACAAGTCGCATGGTAGGCTCGGGCGCACTTCTTCTGTGAGCATTGGAAGCAGGCGCCGCGCTTGGAGCGACAGAACAAGCACTTGAGATCAAGCCTGTCTCTATGTATATTGTTGACGTTGCACACAACATCCTGTCCTTCCACTGTGTCAATGTACGTTTCGGGAATGAACATGGCGCACATTCGGTGAGCTTTGCGGCCATCATTGGTGGGTAAAACATCCATGCCAACGAAGTCGTTGGGACAAAGACAGCACGGGGGGTCTGCTCTGGACTTGAGACGCAAGCGGACCTTTTTGATCTTGAGCCTTTGCCCCTTGTCTCCGCCGTGTTTGCGCTTCCTTCCGTCCTTGAATTTGACGCCATTGGACGGAGGAGAAGGCAGTCCAGACATGTCTTTATCGTCTTCATCTTCGTCGTCTTCCGTCTCTTCGTAGTATTCCGGCGTCGGTTCACCGCGCAGCTTGCGCTCGATTTCATAGACATCGATCCAAACGCTGTCCTGCGCTTGCGAGCACTCGCATCGCTTTGCAATTTTACCCATCGGCAACCATGAATCAAGAGCAAAGTTGACGGCCTCGGCACAGTTGTAGCCCAGGTTGTACCCAGAGTGGTAGCCGTAAGGGTATGTGACGACAAACTCTCCGGGATACGAAAGGCACTTGTTTACGCGAATGCCATAGTGTGACAAGAGATGCTGTGGGGAGATCAGGTAACCCTTGTGACGCAGGAATTGGCTACAAGACTTGGCGTCGGCAGGCCAAATGCTTTTCATCGCCTTTTCAAATCTTGGGGCATCGGCTTGTGAGATGCTGTACCATTGCTTTGGTGCGCCGAAATGAAGATAGTTGATGCTGTATAGATCCACATCCTCGAGATGCCAAGCGAATGTGGCTTTCCACATTCCAAGGTAGAGGTATGCCGTGTTGACGCCAGGGATTTTGGTACCGAGGACATCAAGAAGATTAGGAAGCTTGTTGAGGTTCCAGGTGTCGGCAGAGTCCTCGAATAGAGTTCCCATCATGTCGGCGCCATACAGAGGAGGCGCATACGTCAGGGTCTTCCAGTATGCTCTCTCCAGCTCCTCACATCGCTCGGCAGTGTAGTCGGATATGTCCATCTTGTAGTCAAAGTTCTTGAAGGCTTCCTCATCAATGGTGACAGATCCTTCGCGACGACCATTTTTTCTTCGGGCTGAAACAGACTGCGTCTTTTCTTTGGCAAGCTTGGTGCCTCCCATACGCCCACCCATTCGGCTGGGCGCAGGCGCAGATTCTTGTTCGGCTTCGGGGTCTGGCGCATCGGTTTCAACTGAATTGACAATTTCGGGCTTTTCTTCATTTGGTTCATCCGTCGCTGGCTTTGGAGACACGGGGGTCATAGGTCGATTATCTGGTTCTGCCGCTGCCTCGTCGTGCTTGGGCTTGTTCTTTGCTGGACGTCCGCGACCACGCTTCTTGGGCATCGACGTCTTGGGTTGTTTCGGTGCAGAGGGCTTTGGTCTTGGGGGCTTCGGTCTATCCGTATTGGCTCGTCGTTCGCCTCGGCGCGCGGGCGGCTGGTGCTCGCTCTGGTCGCAGAGTTGTCGCCACTGGGGGAGGTTGTATGATCGGCCGTGAAGAATGTTGACTTGTCTGTAGGTTCCGTTAAAGCCCATGATGTCCTGCTTGATCGGCTCGCGAACGCGAATTTGTTTGACTAATTCGTCGAGGTTTGGTTGGGCGTCCTTCCATTCCTGGGGTGGGATGATTTTGATGATGCCAGATGTCATGCCATAGCTATCGACCTTGTTCATCTGTCGTGTGTCGCAGGGTTAGTCAACGAGGAGAGATCCGGCGGGCAGCGCAGGCAAGGCGGGCGGGGAAACGCACAAATTTCTTGAAATCCTTGAATTGATCCATTGTCGGCTTGAAGACGGGCACAGTGCCGGACCAATGATCCGGTGAGACGTCTCCGATGTCATCTTTATCATCCTCGGCAGCAGGCGGCTCGGCCGAAGCGCTGAGACCGTGGGGGGGGGCATCGAGGGCGGGCTCCTCTTCGAGTTCACTGAGCTCGGAGTCGCTCGCGTCGGACTTGACTGCGTTGTTGCTGTCTGGTGGCGAGTGCAGAAAGTTGAGCTGGGACGGGTCCGAAGACTCGAGGTGTTGCTGGGCGTCATCGACGACGGGGGCAGACGCAGGCCCCGTGGCGACATTCACGGAGTCGGAGTCCATGGTCGTAAAAACGGGGGTCGAGCGGAAAACGAGTGGCGGGTTAAAACAGGAGCGAGGGAGGTGGTGATCAGGCGATAGCCTGTGAGCTGTCCATGCGAGCGGAGGACATAAGAATGCGCAGGCGCACAAGAGAGAATACGTGCAGTGAGAGTAATCAATCGGAGTACAGTCTTGGTATTTCTTCGTCTTGTCGGTTGATGGTGCTGCAGGTGTGTTGCTCGATCTGGCCAGGGTAGTGCAACGCTTGGTGGATGGATTTGGGCAGCAGACAGTGGGCGAGTGGGCGGCAGCAAGAAAGCACTCAGAGGAGAAGCCACAAGCCAAGATGACTGGCTAGGGCCACTTTTCAGTGGGGCATCTTGTTCTGCTTCCCCAGCTGACTCATCAGTCGAATTCCAAGTCAGTGAGAGAGCTTCCTTTTTCGGATTAGCGGCTTCTAATTGGCCGTGCGCTGCTTGATAAAAATACTGGACACAAGGGCCATCGTCACCTCCACGCAGATATCCTTACCGAGGTTTATTCCCTTGCCCGAGATGTGATGTCATCACACAGGCAAACGATCTGATAAGGAACATGCGATGCGACAAAGACACTCCCCTCATTTCAAGCTTAGGACCGCGCAACGACGCGTCAGCCACTCTATGAGCATGACAGATAATAATCTTGAATCAAGTCACAGAGATATGGTGGATAAATAGAAGCATACAGCCGATCTATTCGCAGGAAACTACATTCAAGGCCCTTTGCCTTGTCGTCTCTTCCTCACGATCACCTCACAGCCAGCGGAAACACGCCACCTAACATTCGCCGCCGTCAACTTTTTGCTCATCGCGCCCTCCCCTGCACCATCGAGCAATCTCCAACGCCAAACGGCTTCCTATTTAGATTGTCAAACACGAGCGGCAGCTCGCTGCAGTGCGCCGCGCCGTACACATCGGCTGCGAGTTAATATGTGCGGCTGACCTGGTTGGCAGCGGGACCCCACACCGGAAGGAAGATTTTGTAGTTTTCCTCGCTTTTACGACCTCTGGTGTGCTGTGAAGGTTGTAGTAGGGAAAGACGAAGAGGTTGCTTTCGTCGCCACCTTGGTGGCTTTCCAAGCAAATGATGTTTCAATGGTGTCACTGTTTGGCGTACTGAATTTAGAGCTGAGTGGTAGTTGAGAGCGCACATGCAGGGGCTGCTCTTTGATGAGATCTTAATCGATCGACGCCCCGCCGACGTTGGGTATGTTCGGACAGCCAACGCTAGACGGGGCAAAGGTCTTGGCTGAATCGTCACTGATGGGCAACGGGGCGTTGTCGAAAACAAATGTCAGGTTCTTGGCAAGCTTTTCTCAAGGCAGTCGGGCTGTAGCAGCAGTAGTAGTGATTGTGTCAACATGCAAGAAGGCAACTTACATCGATGGCACTACAAATAGATTGACTATTGGCGAAGGCATGTGATCCAAATCACGAAGGGACAGTATGGGACTAGTGTTCAATGTGAGTCGTCATGTCACGTCTGAATTGACAGTCGCTTTCTCTTGTGACAGCAGGAACAACAACATCGTTAGGGCTCAAATCGATAGAAGCCTGGTCAACATGCCACGACAGCCGCAAGAAGACCGTTGGGGTGGATTCGAGGCGAGAAGAGTCGTTTTTTTTTATGAAATTGCGAGGCTAGGATCCCGCCAATATTGTCTATGGAAGCCACTGTCGTATGGCTTTGCTTCTACGTATGCCGCCCTGGCTACATCTCGCTATTTAGTGAACAACATACAGCCTTGCCTATGGTGTAAGATTTGCCGCAGAAAAGGCGCTCCGGGAGGCACCTTGGAACCTACTGTAAGGAAAGGACGAAAGACAAAAAAAATAGGAGAAAATCGTAGTGAAAACGTCCTTTAGAGGACTATGTTAATGAAGATGTCATTTGATGACGGAGCAAAAATATAGGTTCCAGGGGGAGTCGAACCCTCGCTGGCGGAATCAGAATCCGCAGTCATAACCGTTAGACCATGGAACCACTGAAGCGGTGAGCCACTTCTCATGGGGCGGTTGTTTTCCGGACGATGACGGCCGCCTTATTTTGCTTTAAAAGCCTGCACCTGCCCTGCATCAATCGGCACCAACGACAAAGTCTTCCAATTGCTTCCGCTGTTTAATCCTCCCATTTTGCAATCACTACATGTAACATTCGTGCAATCACCACGCGCCAGTTTGAAAGATGCCCTCTTACACAGCCCACGGTCCGATCGCTCATTTCTCTCTGCCGATTTAATTTTATTTTGTTTTGCCCACTGCAAAGCGCACCTGATGGGGGTAATTGTCAGTATTATGCAGGGTACGGCAGCCATTTGACACAACATCCAAGTGCAGCTTGTGACACGGTCTATTGCCAAAGAGTTGCTGGGACAAAAAATAAATTACACACTAGCCAAAAAAGAGATACGAGGGAGAACAAGCAGGATACGGGAAGAGATGGCGAGGCGAAAGGGTTGAGCCTGTTCAAGTCACACCCATACAGATGGCTGCCTAGACCCTCAGTTTTCTTTTAGCAATATCCTTTGCCCGACTCTCTACGAGACAAACAGTACCTGTTACGCCAGAACTCATCACTTCTTATCGCTTCGTGATGCAGCACTGCGTTTTTCTATCGATTTCCGTCGGCGCTCCGCGCGACCACTACGCCATCTTTGTCGAAACCGAGCAAGACGGCGCCGGCACCGTGCTCCAAGCGACCGGCAACATTCAAAACGGAATGGTCTTTGAAGTGAAAACCAACCACCGACCAGAGGCATCGCTTGAGTTTTTCAGAAAAGAGCTTCTGGGCTGGGTCGCGCCCGAGGACCTGCACCGCGTCGAGCAGGTCTGCGCAGGCCTGCCGCCGCCCAAGAAGCAGTTTGAGGGCGCGAGACGTCTATACTCGCGGGAGCCTCTGCGGCGCTGCCAGGAGTGGACGCGCGAGGCTATTGATGCTTTGGTCGCAGCAGGAATTTTGCATACTACGGAGGAGGGGTAGTGCTGGTTCATGTTGGATGGTGAGGTTTGCGCGTCGCAGAAGACTTGCATGAGCAGCAAGGACATTGAGGGGTTTGAGAGATCGATTGGAAGAAGCTGCGAGGGAAGTAAAGTCGCCCGGCGATGACTCATAACAGATTTCGAAAGACTGCACTCGACACATGTCCCGAGTTCAGTCAAGCAGGTCTGCTTCAGTTTGAATACTTGTTTATTGCTACGTTGAAAGGTCATATAACCACTCTGCATTCGGTTTCCGAGAGCAGAATTCGTAAGCGCTGACCTCCTTCTTCACTTCCAGATTGTAGCTCCTCTGTCCGCGCCAAAGCTCTCGTATCATAGGATTCAACCACGCGCACTCGCTGGGGTACTCATCAAGTGCAGTGGTAGTAAGGTATATCAGAAAATCATCACTAAATTCAGCTGCAAGAGTAGCGGCGGAGTATTCCCAGTACTCCGGCCACCATCCCGCCGCCTCCCAATCAATCACAACCAGACTCTTGTCCTCCTTGAGGATAATGTTGTTCTTCTGCAGGTCAGCGTGCGTCAAAACAGCTCTGTGATTCTTCAAGACTTCCGAGAACATGCACTCGTAAATTTCGGCAATTTGCTCTGACCCTTCATTTTCGAGATACACCTCGACTAGGCCTTGATTGAACTCGTGCTCGGTTCGGGATGAGCGGCTGAGTGGAGCATTTTGCGCAGCGTCGTCGCATGGCAGTGTCCAAAAGACTGAGTCCTCACAAGGAGGATTGCCGAAACAGCCAAAGTAACCCGGCGCAGGGACTTTCCGAAGCTGCTTGAAGTGTTCTTGAAGCTGAAGGGCTACACCGTGCTTTTCATGAAAAGACAGATTAGGCCAAGCGGCCTCGAGGGTTTTGCCGGGGATATATTCCATGATGATGTATGTGGCTAGTCTTCCATCGAGGTTGATTTTTGTGTAGAGGGCGTACACCTCGGGTATCGGGACAGCCTCGGTCTTTTTCACGTAAAGAAGGTTTTGTCCCTCCATGACGGAAACTCGGGTACCATGTTTGACAATAAAATGTTGGCCAAACTGGATGATGCGTCTTCCATAACCTTCTTTGATGACTCGATTGCATGATTCGATGGCTTCGGGCGTCGGGAGAGTCGCTGGCAGCCGTGAAGAACGGGCAAAGAAGGGTATTTCAGAGAGGTAGTCTGGGACTTTCATTGCTTTTGATGCGCATCTTCGTTGAGGTTACGGGTGGGATGCAGTATTAATGAGAATAGAAAAGATGAAAAAAAAAGGAAGCGACAAAGAAACGAAACCAAGCAAGATCCATTTTCAAGAGCTTGAACATTTTGCCTAATCTTTCTGGCCTGATATTTTGTGCAACACAACAGGGACCTACTTGCATCCTCAAAGCAGAGAACTTGCTCCTGTTGCCGCTGACCTTTTGTGTCTCTGATGCAGCAAAGTTTCAAGTTATCGGGTTATAAGTTGCGACGCGCCGCATTTTGGTAGCGGCTATACCCTATTTTGTCACAACACAGAGCCGTGCAACACTGCGCTTTGCGACCTGAAAGACGTCTGTTGAAGGACTACTTTCAGTGAAAGGTCATCAAATGTGGGTAAGCTGGCCCGTTGTTGATCATATCGATGCTAGCTAGATAGTAACTAGATGCGGAATCTCGACAGTGATATAAAAAACCCCGGGCCAGCCCCTCCTCCGCACTTTGCCGTCCCACAACTGCACCCGGTGCCACACCACTTTATTGTGCTAGGCCGGAGCCGGCGGCGGGGCCGACCGTGCCAACCACTGACCTATATGGTCTGTTTCCGGTCCAAACTAGCTTTACATTTCTTACAAAAAACTGAAGCTTTTCAATCTTTCCTTCTTGCTTGTAATTCGCCCACCTTTGCTCTTGCTTTTGACACCTTCTCATTCTCTCGTTAATAGTTATTACGGCGACGCTGACAAGTGCGACAAGATTTCTGTCCCGAGACGTTTCGTTTCTCACTCACAACCACGAGGGCAAGGAAAAAATGACCCCGCCATCAGCTGCTCTTCTGCCCCTCCTTCTCCTTGCGCTGGCCGGCCGCTCCCGGGCGCAGGAAGACGGCAGCGCGAACCAAATTACCAGCACAAGCTCCAAGGTCTGGGCCGCCGTCGCATTTATCAACCACGGCGAGACGACGCCGTTTCTGCGCAGCGCGAGCCCGGTCCTGACGCCGAGCGGCGCGCAGCAGCTGTACCGGCAGGGCACGGCGTTTCGCGGCCGCTACCTCGCGCCGTCGACGGTCAAGAATGCGTCGTCGTCGTCGTCGTCTGAGGCCGCGACCATTCAGGGTCTGTCGCAGAATGCGATTGATAACGCGCAGCTGAAGATACTCGCGCAGACAGACGAGTGGGTGGTGGGCGGCGCAGTCGCTTTCATGCAGGCGCTGTATCCGCCGAATAGCAATGCGTTCAGTAAGGCGGCCGGGGGTCAGGCGTTGGCTGACAATGGCGACAACTCCAACGCGACGAGTTATCCCCTCGATGGCTACCAGTATCCGCAGATTGAGACGCTTGCCAGCACGGATGCAAACTCTGTTGGGTGAGCCTACTGTTGCGCAATCCAGTCTAGAGGCCCAATTCACTAATGCATATGTAGCATCCAAGGCCATGTCGGCTGCCCTACCTGGCAACACGCCTCGACGGCTAATCTCACCACCAACCCAACACTCAAAGACGCCGCGCAGAAGAGCGCCGACTTTTACACCAAGCTCTTTAGCTCTGGCCCGCTGCAGGGCGCCGTCGCCGCCGACGACGCCAACTTGTTCAACGCCTACGACATTTACAACCTCGTCCGCTACGAGAACATGCACAACGCTACCGTCGCCGCCAATCTCGCCAACGCCGACGAAACGCTCGCGCGGCTCGCCGCCGACGCCTTCACCATGGAGCGGGCCAAGTCGGACCCGGGCTCCAGCACAGCCAACGACACGGCGAGCGTTGCGCTGACCATTGCCGGCCGCACGCTCGCGCATCTCGTGGCTGACCAGCTGGTCCTCGACGCTAATCGAACAGCGAATCGCGTGCAGCGGCTGACGCTGCTCTTTGGCTCGTTCCAGCCGCTCATGGCGCTCTTCTCCGTTGCGGGCCTGCTCACCCGCGACAACGTCATTAGCACGGCTATTGGCAACGTCACCGCGCCGGGCGCGGCCATCGTCTTTGAGCTCATTGGACAAAACGCCAAAGGTGCGGCCGGCTTTCCCAAGCCTGAGGACTTGAGCGTACGTTTCGTCTTCCGTCCGACGGCGGACGAGAGTGATGCGTTCCAGGTGTTTTCACTGTTTGGCTCGGGCAACGGTGGCCGCAGCATCCCGTATCTCGCGTTTCGCGAGAAAATGGCGTCGATTGGCAGAGAGGCGGCAGACTGGTGCCGGATCTGCAAGCCCAGCGGATCTGCGAGCGCGTGGTGCCAGGAAGGGACTGCGGGTGGTGCCGATAACGGTCGTGCGCGGATGAGTCCCGCAGTGGCAGGCGTGATTGGCGCCGTCATCATGGGCGCGCTGGTGGCGCTGGCTGTGTTGGCGCTCTGCGGCCTCGGGGGATTTCGCCTGCGGCGTCGCAGCAGAGACGGTGCTGGGGCTCGCGGTGCAGAGAAGCGCGGCGGAGACCCGGACGTGACGTATGGAAGCGGAGGGGAGGCGCAGGAGCGCATCGGAAGCTGGGAGTTGAAGGGGCAGCCAAAGAGCGAGAGCCACGTGCAGCAGCAAAGAAGATCGCTGGACGAGGATGCGGGAAGTGACGTGGAGAATGCCACCCCTGTGAAAACGCGCGAGGCTTTTTGATCAAGTAAGACTGCGTGGAAGAAGCCGAGCACTGGCGTGTACAGAATTGTATTGCCGTCAAGACGTAGAGTCTACTTGCCACAGCCAGCGCATAGCCAATACGATGCCAGATATAATGAGACATGATACTGAAATACAAACATTTGCAGAAGTTTACATTCTGAATCGAGAAATGTCTGCGATCGTTACCAGGACTGCGCGAGCACAGGGCATGAGAATTTTTGGAGGCTGAGGTTGGGCGGCTCAGACTTCTTTATATGCTCCTTGAGATTCAGAAAGATGGTGTTTCAATGCCAGGTATAGTCGTCGGTCCGAGGAACGTTTAGCAACCTTGCTGCAGCCGCGTCACCAAACGAGGATGCTGTTGGTACAGTCGGGACGAGGACATGAGACGCGTGTTGTAGGAGGATGGGCGGACCTATGTGGTTCCCCATCGTTTGTCGAGTGGTTACTGCAACTCTCGAACCAGTCAAGCAGTATCGTGGCGAACTGGTCCGCGGCGCAGTGATAGTCGATGGGTACAAAGTCGTTGGCTACGGAGCTCGTGGTCTCGAAACTGGCAATGGGTGTTGAGCTGTCGTAGTTGAGTCAATCTATAGCTTGGCCGCAAAGATGGATGGGCGTCGTTTAGCTCCGTCAATTTGAGCAGCTTCAATCAGGTCAACTTATCCGCTGTCGAAATCCGTGCTTGAGATGTTCACTTTGAGGCTCTGGGGCGCACCTCGGAAGCAGAGCGGCGGTCTTGATTTTGTTCAAAGGGCCCGACAGTTTGGACAACGAACTCGGTCGAATTGCGGGACTTTAGCGGTCGCGGCTCGTACGGCACTCGGGGCGGCGAGATGGATGCAGGCCTGATGATGAGGTGGACGCGTACTCTGGCATTTGGGGGATGGGGGGGGGGGACGCACTGATGTCGCCTCTGGAGCTGTGCCCTTGCTGTTTCACAGGACGGAAGCACTGCCGTGCAATCTAATGGAGTGTCGGCTCTTGTCGTGAGATGCTCGTAAATGTGAAAGAGAGAACGAAATGGAGAGCAACAAAAATGTTGACTGGCAAAGGTCACGTCTACATGAGACAGCGGCGGGAAGCTGGCCTCAGTGCTGGTGGAGTGCACCAGCGACGGCCGGCAAACGAGTAGCATAACAGGAATATTAGTAGCTCCCTTGACGTATACATGAGACTGAGAAGCCTGGCAAAAATGGTAGTTTCTAGGGTTGTATTCATTTTTTCTACTTCATCCGCACATTGATAAGATCAGTTTTGTTGAATTCCCGGCGCCCACCGTGGCTGGTAACAGCACCCACCCAGAACCAGTCGCATGTCGCGCAGTCGCTGTCACACGGCTGCCCATCAACATCATCGAGCCTCGTCAGCATCGGAATTCTGCTTGTGCCTCCATATCGACACCATGGCCGTAAATAAAATTCGAATATTTATTATCATTAATTTGCCTTGGTTTCTGGGGGGGACGTTGATGATGATGGGGTTCCCACTATTTATTTGTCGGATATATATAGATGGTGTAATTATTTGATTTGGCGTTGAGTACGATGATGCCAAGCTCGACAACTCCCTCATTTCTAAGACTGTGATGATACTTGATATCGAGGCTGATTTTGCAATGAAGAAATAAAAATAGGAGGTCGTTTCACATCCCATTGCAACCACATTATGAATCGAATTCAAGTCCCATCTGTAAGCCGTCTACAGCACGCAATTCCCTCCGGATATCGCTGCGATCCACTGCCCAGTTATCGGCATGTGCGTGCAATGCAATGAGTGGGAGAACTCGATTGCGGCTCTTTTAGTTACCCCGCATCAACTTGGGCCGCAATACGGCATCCGCATGGTACTACGCACTAGACCACCAACTTATCCGGTAACGCTGCGGCCCGTAGGCGTTGAGCATGGCTATCAAGCTCCATCTCTCTGTGTCGGGCTTCGAGGTGAGCTTCAGTCGCCTATTGACAGATCCGTCACAACTGCCGATCCGCTTAGGGGTGGTGGGCGACGTGGCTTCGGCAATTGACTTGCCTTTACCTCGACTGGACGACTAATACGTCGTCGGTCGCGTTGGCCCAGTGTACCTCTACAATCTCCAAAGTTGTGTCGGCAATGATGTTCCCGGACCTCCAGGTCGTTTGTTGTATTCGCCATGTTCCCCCCCAACATCTGTCCACTGCCCCAGCACTTCTGTCCTACATTGCCACGTTTCGTCTTCGGTCATTGGGAATCGGCTGAAAACGGGCGGGGTATTCCGGATGAACCGGACGCGGGATGGTATCCCGAACCGCAAGGATAGCTGCAGGGTAATCTCTATTATGGCTGATGTTTGCTCCCTAGTCAGGCGTATCCGGCTGTTCCTCTCTGCTGGTGTTTCTTGTACGCTCTTGATAGCTAACTTTCAATCACTTTTTGATATTGTGTCTTTCGTCTGATTAGTCTCTGGCTACTGAGAAAGCTGTATAAGAGAAGATGCAACTCCAGAAAGAGCTCTCGCGCCCGCCTGTGGGTTGATCTTGTGTTGGTTCTAGCAATTGGATCAGCTTGATGCGACGCGGAACCACGTCGAGCAGTATGAGTGCCAAAAGTAAAAACTCACAAATAGGACTGTTGCTTCAGACGCTGTATATGGATCTTTTCCTAGACTCTATGCTTACAATATCGTCACCTCTTAACTATCTCGTCACCTCTTAACTATCCGCGGGGCGACAGGCTCATCAGTATTCTTTTAATTCGCGCGCTCGCATAGCACAACCCTCTGCCAGAGTCCCAGTCGCGCGGCTCTGTCAACAATTCTTTCAACGATAGCAGCACGCTACTATCGACATTGCATTCATCGCGAAAGAACTCCATGGGCCCGCCGAATTCTTCACGCATCATCTGAAGTAGTATCAACATGGCCTGCCGGTTCGGCGTAAGCATCTGCACCACCGCCTCTCTGAGCTCGGATTCGGTGTAGTTGGGGTAATACTCCCCGATAAACTTCATGGTCTGCGCAAACATTGGTTCAAGCCCCGGGCCGCTGAGCGCAAAATCATCCGCAATTTGGTCGTCGGACGCGCCAAGCAGAGCAAGAAGCAACGCAACGACCACACCCGTACGGTCCTTGCCCAGAGAACAGTGCAAAATGAACGCCTCTGAAGAATGCTCATGCATAAACACAAGCAACTCTCGCATTTTGGCACGCCCATTCTCCGAGCAGACAGTGTCAAAGTATCTTCTGGCAACGGACTAGGAATGTTAGCTTGGTTATGACTATGTGAGAGACGGGAGACATACCTGGGAGCGCATAGCATCCTCGGATTTGTATTTGAGGAATCGATCATCTAGATGAAATGCCTCACTGAGTGGAAAAGGCAACGCCGGTGGCAACTGATGTTTATTTGCTGTGGACAAGCCGTTGGCATAAGCCCACTTCTGAATCAGCTTCGCTTCCGAGGAAGTGCGTAGGTCAATAATGGCCGTAGTGCCCAGCTTCGAGAGCTTCGTCTCGCCGGTGTCGGTCAGAAACTCAAGGTGTCCAGACCGAAAGATGACACCGTGCCGTGTAGCCGTAGTTGGAGAGAGGCTGATTCCCCCAAAGTCTCGCACATTGAAAGCACCCTCAACGTCAATGAGCCTCTCGGTGCCGTTTGTCTCGTTCTCCAAGTGAGGGTAATATTCTCGTTTCCTCTGCCGTATGCAAGGCAACAGAGAATTCATCTTGAGACTTTTGAACATTTGTATACTTGGTCCACGATCTTGCATCTGAATATGATGCTAAACATGGAAAAGAAAATAAAAAGAAAATGAAAAAAAAAAGAATAGAAGAAGACAATAAAAGAAAAAGACAAGAAAAGGAAAAAAGAAAGAGACCAAACGTGACTGGCTTAGCTGTCCGGTAAGATAAAAAAGGTGGCCATGCCAGGAGGTTCTCGGACTTGTAATTGATATGCCTTTTCCATTCGAATAGTCTTGTTCATGAAAAAAATAGAGTTTTGTATATCTTTGCTCTTTAAAGCAGTCAAGAGAGCATTCGACCACCCTTTGTCTGTTTTATCTACGTGTCTGCTTGGCCAGGCTGGCCTGCATTATCGGCATGCCCGCTTGTTCATGTCGGCTGCATGTGTGCGGGTCAACTTGCACCGAGGGGTGTTGGAGGGGATCACTAGCATTCAAACACAGCTTGGCATGAATCGGCGAGGCATGAGAGTGGATTGTATTGTTTCGTCATCAGCAGAGATGCACAACTCAACCAACGAGGTTACTTTAGCAAAGTCACAATGCAGAGACAGCTGTCGTCATTCTGGCTCGAGTGGTCTTGAATAGCCCTCCAAGCTGCGCAGTGATATGCACCGTGAAAGCTTATATCGCGGCCCAGACCCCGAAATTCAGGCGGCATTATTAGCTACAGTGTTAAGCTATACGCTCAAAAAATGGACGCGCCACAACTTTGTAGCGCCTATACCCCCTTATATCACAACATGCAGGGACTCTGGATCTATCTCCATTTATCAGTCCGTGGACTGCGACCAATCATCGGCTTTACCGCCGCTTATGTCACCAGCCTCCAGTTGTGTTCTGCAAAAGGCACGAGCATCACATTGTAAAGACTCTTCGTATTGACGCACGATGCTGGAGCAGCAATCAACTCTATTCTGGCTTGCGTCCGTGCACTACATGAAAAACAATATAGCCATGAATCTCTGGGTCGAGATAGTCTCTCACCGTGCCAGCTATCAGCTGCGTACCTTGCTCGATTGTAAGTCCTGCGGCAAGAAGCAGCTTCGTCGACAGACCCGTCAAGCTCTCCTCGGTGTACGTCGAGAGGAACAGCTTCCCAAGCGCCTGCTGCTTTGGGTCCTCTGACCAGATGCCGCACGGAATTTGTATCTGCCGTGCGACTACGTCCACGAACCCAGTCTCCCGCAGAATGCTCTCATACTGGCGTGCGATTTTCGGATCTCGATTGATTGCAGCGAGACCGCTCTCCAAGTAACCGCCCAGGCGTTCCATCGAGGTGCCCCGCGTAGACCCGTCCTCTGAGCATGCCCCCATTTCTACGTCCTGAAACTCGACCCATCCTCCAGGAGCAAGCTTGTCGAAGATGCTCTTGATAGTGCGACGCGGCTGATCGAAGCAGGATACCATCATGCGAAGATGAATGTAGTCAAAGGTGCCTGCGACTGGCCAGTCGTCATCCTCTGCATCGCCTCTCACGAAGCGGCAGTTCGGGGGCGTGTTGCTTGGCTGAATCAGACTGAGATCCATGCCCACAACCTGTGAGTCCGGGAATGCAGATGCGAAATCCATCGCCCATATACCTCTGATTTTGCATTAGTTATCAAAGTTACTGACTTGATTCGATTATAAAGTACAGTCTCTTACGTTCCAGTTCCAATGTCTAACACGGAAGGAGCTCGCCCAACAGGCGCTGAGCCCAATGATCCATCTAGCAGTAGTTTGAGCAGCTGATGCTGACTATTGAGCCTGTATTGTTCCTTTGAGTCGTTTGGGAGAACGTATTTGCCATGCTTGAAGCTATGATACGTCCGCCCGTGCTCAGAGGTTGAGCTGGGATCGAGTTGCGTGACCTCGGGTGAGAGTGTTGAAGTTTTCTGGGCGGTTTGAGACATGGTGCACCAATGCTTCCCTGCAAGTCAAAAGATTGATTTGAAGAATACTTTTGATGGACAGCATTGATCCTTTAGTACCCTCGCTGGTTACTGCGTGGAGCTTCGTCACTCACAAGTGAAAGGACTTCGGACCTGACACTTAGACGCGTGGGGCAGCGGTGCATCAATGTGCTGGCAGTGTGGGTTGGGACGGAAACTCTCTTTCGAAAAGATAAGGCAAACACGGCATTTTATTATGAATTATTCTAATTCACGGTATAATACTCCAACGTCCCTGAATTACTGCACAGTCGACGTCACAACCCCTACTTCCCTACTTGCGTCAGAACTACTTGCAGTTGCCATGGCGGAACCGTTCAGAGCCATCGTTGTTGGCGCAGGGCCAGTTGGACTGATTATTGCACATGCGCTTTCAGCTGCTGGCATTGATTTTATTTGTTTGGAGCAGAGGGGCCGCCTGCTGGATGACCTCGGCGCCAGCCTTGTACTGCATCCACCTACTCTACGTGTTCTGAACCAATTGGGCCTGTACGATGATCTGCTAGCTATCTGCAATGAGATACATCAGCAAACAACAATGATTGCATCGACAGGAGAGCAATGGGACAGTTCTGGGCTAACAAGCACAATTATGCAAAAGTAATGTCACGTCTGGCAAAGTTTCGTTACGAGTCTGCTAACTGTGGTTACAGTCATGGCATACCCCTCATGACATTCCATCGCGCAGAACTAATGAAAGTCCTCTATGATGGGCTTTGCAAAGAGGCTAGGCTTAAAATACTGACGTCCAAGACCGTCACCAGTATCGAAAGCCAGGATTCTGGTGTTACCGTCGACTGCAGCGATGAGACTGTATACAGAGGCTCAGTCGTCATTGGAGCAGATGGAACAAACAGTGTCACCAGGAAGTTGATGCATGGAATTGCAACAAAAGATGTTCCAGAATCTCTTTGGGGCCCATTCATGCCCTACAAAAGCGAGTTTGACTGCCTCTGGTGCACCTGTCCGCCCATGATCGAGCCGGGCCATTACTTTGAAACACAGCACCGAGGTCTGTCTGTTATTACGCTCACCGGAAAGCAGCGAAACTGGCTTCTTTTGTTTGAAAAGAAATCCGAGGCCTCGCGATCCCGGCAAAAGACATCCGACGACGACTTGCAGCAGTTTGCTGCCAGGTTCTTCTCCTTCCCTGCCTGCCCACAGTTTACTGTCGAGGACATGTTTGCACAGCGAATAACGGCTGGCCTCACAAGGCTGGATGAAGGAATGACAAAGCATTGGTTCTACGGCCGCATGGTGCTTGTGGGCGATGCCTGCCATAAAATGACACCGAATGCCGGCTTTGGCTTCAACAACGGTGTGCAGGACGCTGTTGTGCTTTGCAATGGCCTGCAAAAGCTGGTTCGGGAGGACTCGTCGGCCGGCGTACAACCTGGTCAGCTAAGAGACGTGTTTGCGCAATATGAGGCATCCCGACAAGAGCAAGTGCGCAGGGACTTGTCCTTTTCGGCACACTTTACGCGCATACAGGCTTGGGATAACTGGATCTACTATTTGTTCGCGCGCTGGATTCGGCCGCTGAAGATTGCGCAGCGCTGGTCGGCAGAGAAGATATCGCATTATTTTAGTAAAGCAAGCGTCTTGAACTATGTTTTTGCCAAGGAGCCGTTTCATGGCTTGCTGCCCTGGCAGAATAGCTCAATGGGCGCTTCTTGACGCTGTAACTTGGGCCAGTACAGCTCTATATATCACAGGGAGAAATAATAAATCACATCACCTGTTACCTTGAACATGAAGTCCAAGTGCAGTTGCGCCTCAGGTTCGGGTGGATATGATGTTGATTAGAAAAAGTACTACGAACCGCAACCGACTCATTCTACTCGGCGGACCTACCAATATATAAACTCATAAAGTATGCCCTTTCTAGACGTACACTAATATAGACATGGCTCATTACATTTGCTAGGGCTATATCTGGTTCTCAATTCATTCCGACTGTTGCGGCCCCTCAGTACTTAACGGGACACAAAAGTAGTGTGCGGCCACAGAGAATATGTCAAGTAAGATTATAGCGACTATAGACTATGCTAACTAAAATTATAAGACTTATTCTAGATTTTATCACTAACTACTTAGGCTTCTATCGTAGATTTAAAAAAACTGGCTCTTTAGTGGTATTTGTATGGGGGTCGTAGCGGCACGATGGTTGTGACACACGTACAGCACCCACTGGCACAGTGCGGGCACATGTACCTCGTACTTCCTCCTTGGCTAGAAGCGCACTCCTGGCAGAAAACATCATCGTGATCGCAAGTGTTTAGAAATGCATGACTGGTTATTCGACTTCCATGTCGACTAATTTTGCTCCGCTTCTAAGTTATAGAGGTCAACTAAACCGCAGCATATCAGCCATTTCTGAATGAAGACCTTCGCGCAGAGCGACTGCCAGCTCATACCTTGCCTATACTAATGTTGCGATGGAGATATTTTCTTCCAAAGCCCTTGTACACGCTCGAGAGCAGTAGTCCCCGACTTTGAGGTTAGTTGGCTAGGTATCCACGAACCGAAAAATCACCCCAATCGGTTTCCGGCTGCGTCTCGTATTACATCATATATCAGATTATTGGTAGCCATGTCTCAGTCCAGCCGTGTCTCGGCAACGGATGATCGCCAGCTGTTACTAGTACTGCGAGCATCGGGAATGGCTTGCTTGCCGTGCTTGCTTGCTTCCTATTTAGCCGTTTCGTACTGTCTAGCAGCTTCTGGGATGACCACGAAGTATTGGTCATTTATGCTGCCGTCTACATTCCAGTTGACGGATCGACACTCCCTGGCCAATTAACCTTCATGAGACAGATGCAGCCGCAATGATCTCACAGTGACAGGTACTAGAACCAAAACGGCCCCGCTGGCAGTATCTTACCACAAGTCTAACGCATTGCATGATGCATGCATCCGTTAGTCTGTACTTATTCATGTCCCGTCCAGACCGAGCGGCAAATATTTGACGCTCTATACGTATGCATAGTAAGATAAGAGGCCCAGAACTTTGCTATATAAGCTTCTACAGCCGCCACATTGAAACAAACAAACATCACCACATTTCTGGCTGTTCTATATTGTTCTCACGCACACCTCACGTCATCTCGCAACCTAGGTCATGGCGAACGATTCCGACTTTCACCGTCGCGCGGAATGGGCCCCGCACGACAAGGTACTTTTGGGCTGGCCTGGCTTGGAGGGAATCCTCAAGGATTATCCTGACAAGCTGGCAAGGGCGACGCAAGAAGTGTCAATGATTGCTCAAGCCATTGCCAGATTCGAGCCCGTTACTATACTTGTGGGCAATGAGCGCATGAGCGAGGCTGAGGAATACTTTGCCGAAGCCGATACACCTTTCCAATCAAACTGCATCGCATTGAAGGCAAAGATATGGGCATGTGGTTGAGAGACATGGCCCCGACGTTCGTCATCAAGTCTGGAAACCATAGCCTTGTTGGCCTTGACTGGAATTTTAATGGCTGGGGAGGCAAATACCCGACTCCCACGACCAAAAACCTGACGAGAAAGTTTTTGCAAGATGTTTCGATGGACCGGATCGAAACCTCCATTGTGACCGAAGGTGGTGCACTCGAGGCGGACGGTGAAGGAACTCTGTTGGCGACGGAAAGCTCAATCATCAACGACAGCAGAAATCCAGGAAAGAATCGTCAAGATGTTGAAAATGAGCTCAGACGTACTCTTGGGGCCGAAAAGGTAATCTGGATCCCTGGCAGAGTGGGTGTCGACGCGACCGACGGTCATATTGACGCCCTTGCTCGTTTTGCTAGGCCAGGTGTGGTCTTGCTGAGCAAAGCCAATGAGTTCACGCCGACTGACAGGACCACCATCTACGAAGAAGCTCTTGAGATCTTGCAAAGTGTGACTGACGCAAAGGGTCGTCCGATCGAGATCATCGAGATTGAGGAACCCGACTCGGAGCTCTTCTCTCCGGATGACTTCGACAATCATCCCTCTGTTCGAAGCTACGTCAATTATGTACTGGTTAATGGAGGCATTATCCTGCCACAATTTGGTGACCCGGCTCATGATGCTGCGGCCATTAGGGCGGCGCAAAGGGTCTTTGGCGAGGAGAGAAGAATCTGCCCCGTCCTGATTGAGGAGCTGCCACTGTTGGGAGGTGGACCTCATACGGCGACGCAAGAAATTCCCTTGTTCGTATAGTTCTTCTATTAGTCAAATAGACGGCACATCTATTCGCCTGTGTCAAGGCAAGTAGGGCTTGCCGCGGAGGTTCTAGATGACGTATAGATTCTTGAATCAGCGAACGGATTCTTGAACATCCTGTTCCATAAACGAGCGTAAATCTGCCTGCAGATTGAACAGTGACAATTTGGATATATTAAAAAATCGAAAACGCCGGATCTACAACGTAGTCCTATTGTAGCACCGCAGTTGTGTGCCCGCCGAGTTATACCAGCTACAGCGTATTCCTCGAGACTTGAAGCAGACACTGGAAGCGACTCTTAGTCGACACTTTGCTAACTACTTGACAGACGTGATGCATCCCGTGAGTAGTCAACTGTTTTTCTGCTGCTATTATGCTAGCTTGCTTTGGCTGAGGTATCGCAAGACAGCACAGCCGGATTGTGGCATTTACTAGACCACTATGTCCCCGATACTTGCTACTTGCCGCAGGTACGTGTAATATCTATCGTCTTTTTTCGAGTCCCCCCTTCACAACATTACCAAACTTTTTGAGCTGCTCATCCGTCATCCGTCTACGGACATTTCTCATCTGCTCAAACGAGTCACCTCTTGCGCGGGCAGCGACCCCGCGCCGAGCAGCAGGCCAAACAAAATCATGGGGCGCCTCCTTTGGATCCGTCGCCAAATCGTAGACGGTCTCGCCAGCATTGACCTCCCTCGCTAATCAGCGCCAAGTAGAGCGCGCCAGGTTGGCCATGCCCGCCGCCGCCGCCGCCGGCAGCTCTTCGCCGACAAACGTATTCACGAAGCAAGACGGCCATGGCAAATGTTGCGGACCAATTGCTTGCGCTCCGCGTCCTTTTCGGCTTGGTCCTGTCTCTTGGCCGACTTGATGTACTCGGCCGACTGCTTCGCCATGGCAACGGCCAAGGCAGAATACCTCGGCCGGGGCAAAGACTGCACCGTGCCATTGCTGCAAGATCCTGTCAATGTGCGTGGTGCGGTTGCTGGACGACAGGTCGGCCGGACTCCTCAGACTCCCGTTTGTAAAGAGTAATATATAGGGTTGTAGATCTTGATGGCCTTGGCCTTGGTTGGAACGTTGTGCCAGTGGATCTCATGGTGTCTTGGGCCAGTGCAGTTGAGGGTGCTGGTAAACGACTGGTTTTGATCCTGTTGATCCTGTTATGTGATCCATAAATCTTCAATGCCATACATCTGCAGCAGTTCGTAAAAAAAGAAAACCCTTTCTTATCCTTGAGAGCCCAATACAAAAGCTAGCTCGTGTCCCCGATCCCGGCTATCGGTGGAAACGAACTGTGTCCCTCTGTTTCCAGCACGCAATCAAAGAACGGCGCTGCTGTCGTGTCCAGGCCGTGGTCAATTACTGCCTGTACAATTTTGTTCACGGACTTGGTACAGTAGCCAAACCGCGTATCGTAGTCCTCGCTCGCTCACGTCATTGTATTCGCCAGCCACTGCATTCAAAGCGTTCGCGAGCGCGTCCACCGCAAAAAATGTAGGCACAGTATGGATGATAGCTGCTGAGTGAACCATGTAGGCCGTCCAAAGAGTCCAAGTTTGTGGTGTAATCACAATGTACAATCGGCAAGTTGCTTTCGCTGGCCGAGATGTCGCTCCCATTATTGCCAAGCGAGTAGTCCTTGTCAAGATCCACTGCCCAGTCAATTGTCCCTAAAACCCCTTTTCTGAGATAATACGACAAGCGATCAAAGCATGTCTGACCTGTCATGTAGGAAACCCATGGATTGCTGTAGAAGTGAACAAGGTCGCCATTTGAATCTCGAGTCGTTGCCTGCGCTTGTGCTATCGGAAACGATGCGCCGAATCTCATAGTTGGAGAGGTAACCAGATGTTTGAGTACACTCACCCTTTCAGGCAGGTGACTCGAGACCCAAAAAACGTACATTCCTCGGTACGACAACTCGGGTCCGTGATGGCGAATGACCGACCGTACTGGGCGATGCCGACCGCGATTTTGTAGAATCGCACTTCGGCCTTTGTAATGATGGCCAAGGCATAAGTCGTCTCTGTCATGTTGATGTGAGATTGCAAAAAAATTCCGTAGGCGCAGCCTGGGTTCGCAAATTTATTTCCATAATCCCATTGCCCGTGAAGGTCGTACGTAGGTCATATAGACAATGTAGTCCACCGTCTCTCCGACTTTCTGGATTGGGCCGCCATATAAATACCAATAATATGCAGGAACTGCAATCGATGCAGTTGCACCCTTTGGAAGCTTGCTTCTCACTGCTTTGAGAAACGACAAATATCCCTCCCTGTCGCCCTCGTCACCAGGTGGGATGCCCGGAATATCTAGCGCTCCTACGTATTCCCTACAGCCTACAGTATAAATTAACTCTTCCCTATATATATTTAAAATAGAAAGATAATTAATAATATATAGAATAATAAAGTAATTATAATCTTTAAAAAAGCTATATTATAATAAGTTTTGAAATTAAGAAAGATACTATAAAAATATTAGAAATTTAAAATAAAAAAACTTAAATTAATTAATTATTTAATAAAGAATGAAATTTTATATATTTAAAATCTTAGAATAATAAAAAGAAAGTATCAGCTTTTAGTTTAATTTAAAAATAAAATAAATATTAAACTAAAGATACTTTATATTCTTCTTCTTAAAGTTATAATGATAATAACTAATTTATTAATAATATAAAATAAGATAATTATAGGGCTAGTTTATATAAAGTAAACAAGTTAGAGAATATATTTAGGTTACTATATAATTCTATATATTATAATATAACTAAAGTTTAAATTATATAAAACCAAAGAGTATAGTTATAAGAAGTAATAATATTTAAGTTAGCTTATTAGGTATTTAAAGGTATACATAGATAATATAAAGCTAAGTATATTAATATAAAATAACTAAATAATAAATAAATTTAAAATATTAGCTTTATTAGTAAATTAATATCTTATTTATCTAAACTATTAATT